AGCTAATTTTAGGCTAATCAATTACCCTATTTTCGAATTTTTCGCTCGATGTTTCAAGCAAAAAAAAAACGAAAAGATTCGTCGAAATACGCGTTTATTCACTATACATTATGCATATCTATCAAAAGCATATTTTATGACGATTTTTCAAGACAATTGCTCGATGTTTCAAGCAAAAAAAAAAACCGAAAAGATTCGTCGAAATACGCGTTTATTCACTATACATTATGCATATCTATCAAAAGCATATTTTATGACGATTTTTCAAGACAAAGTGTTCGTATTGATTATAAGCTCAATAACTATATTGCATTTTGGAATTTTTTGCTGCATATTTCTTAAAACAAACCTGTGGCTTTGCTGGGCTTCGGGCGAACTCAGCAGAACCATTTTTAATAGTTATTTATTATACAAGGGAAAAAAGTAGTAGATTTTAGCTCCAAGCGGAGGGAGACAACAAACCGCCGTGAGCTGAAATCTAATATTTTTCCCGTGTATAATACACTATTTTTTTCTGTGACAGAAGAAAGGACGAATCAATATTGAGAGATATCACATTATTTCGAAATCTGAAAATTATCGACGTGAAATTTTAAGTTTTTAACAGTAGGGACACCGCGTTGTAGGCATCTTCATTATTCATTTGAAGTAATCAAATATCTGATGTCACTTCTGTCAGTCTAATTCTGTGATTTGATTTAAAGAAATTGCGAATTCAGTGGTTATTTAGTATTATAGGTAACCGCGAAGTCGAATGGAAGATAAAAGGACTTGCAGTTCTTTCTCGGAGACGGTATTATTGACACATTTCTCGAAACTATAGCACAACAAAAGCCATCAACAGTGTATATATATGTGATATATATCTGGGAAAAAAGTACTCACTCTTTGCCCACGGGAAAAAAGTAACTTGTGAAAAGTGACATTTTATAACCTGCCAACAGGGATGAAATGCCAAACTTTTTTCCCGTCACAGAAAAAAAATATTATATTTTTCACCGATTTGATATATCGGTATTGAAAGGCTAATTTTATGCTAATTAATTACCCTATTTCCAAATTTTTTGCTCAACGGTTCAAACAGAAAAAATACAAGACAATTTGTCGAAATACGCGTCATTCACTGTACATTATGTATTTCTATCAAAAACATATTTTATGACGATTTCTCAAGACAAAAGTGTTAGAATTGATTATAAGCTCAATAACTATGTTGAGCACATAATGATGTTCTTTTTGTGTTTTAATCTTTTGCAAAAACTCTCGACAAAAATTCGTAGCCGAAAACGTTTGAGAATTTGCTTGATGTTATAAAGACTGTGTACTAAAGCACAGTAGAGAGCTTACAGACTCTACTGTGACTAAAGCCTTCGTTTGTTAATATTTTGAATATTACAAAGTACACACAACCTTACCCATTGTTTAATTGTGTATATACTACAAGGATTATGAAGTATTAAATCATTGGAAGTTGAGAATACTCTATCAAAATTTGTATGAATATACTTCTTCCACTAGCTCTGTCAGGTTGAGATGACTTGAACTATACAAAGTATTAGTAGAAATTCAAGATCGAGGATTCTCGAAGTAGTCTCTGACCTCTGTCATATCCGTCTATGGGTAGCTATTCCTTATTTTGCACGGAAGAACAGCAAGCAACAACGGATTGGGCCATGAATTTCTTCTTTCTCAGCGTATTCACATTTTGAATGGGAATAAATAGGAGAAAAAGACGAAGAGGTAGAAGATGTATGCGAAGCGGCCAAGCGGAAGCTACTTGAGGAGCTTGTTTAGGAGGTGTTCAGCTTTGAGTTGACCAGAGATTTGTGTAACAACGATATTCCTTGAAGGATATGTTTGTGATTTCTCTGCTGAGATATTCTTGCACATTACAGAGTCTTTCTTGTATAAAATATAGCAAAATCTTATATCAGATTAGAATAAAAAGGGGCCTTTGGGATATCAGCCGCGACCACATCGCGACCTATTCAGATCTATTGTGTCTGACCTCAAAATCGTTTAGGGTTCTTCAGCTAGCCCCGCTTTCTCTATGAGGCTCCATAGGCTAACTATAAGAACCCCTGTGTATCTTTGTGCTCTCGGTTTTTCCTCTCCCAGCGTAAGGAACCTTAGTCGATCTTGACAAGCCCTCACAGTGGCAAAGTATGTGTTCTGCTGTTTCCTCCTCTTCCTGACTAAACCTGCACAGCAGTTCTTCAGCCAGGCCTTCAACACCACAGAACACAAAGAGAGAAAATAGTAAAAAGTTGAAACTCAATTATTCTCACTTCTTTTTCTTTTTAATTTACTCGGCCGCTACTTGATGGCGAAACGATAAGATTTCCATAAAATTCTCAAACACACGACATCTTTCGCTAACACGACAGTACCTTCGTCAGGTGATATACTACTAGTTTAGTTCATTGTACCAGTATATCACCTGACGAAGCTACTGTGTGTTTGAGAATTTTGTGGAAATCTTATCGTTTGTGAAGTTTTTACATTATTCTCACTTATTTTTCTTCCATTCTTTTTTTTCAGAAATGAACTTATTTCTACTAGGACCTTGCACTACGTAATTGAATGAATGATTCATTCTTCTACCAACTATATACCTATCGAATCATATACTTATATATTCCTATATATGTTATAGGTACATCGTCTTCCTTCAGACGGAGATAGCTTACTCCAAAACATGAAGATTCAATCCAACATGCCTTATATTAATGTTGCATATACAGGGTGTTCGAGAGAAATTTTCATTTTGAAATTTTTCTCAACTTTGGTAGAACATTCACTTTGAAATTCGGTTTGTTGTAGGCGTTGTTGAAGAATGTCATCAATGATCACTGTCTTTTTTCACTATCGCTCCGCTAATTTTATGATTAAAAATTATTAAAATGTTATGAGTGGGACATAAATCTCTTCAAGAATGAATTACTCACGAACTGTTTGAGCTATAGACAATTTGGACGTCATTCAATGGACGGAGAAGATATGATATAATTTACCGAAGTAACAAATCGTCACTATCGCCCTCTATGAGCAATTACAAAATAAGTTGCAAATTCGTAATTTTCATGTCAGAAAACTTGAAACTACAATACTTCATGATTATGCTGCTAAAACTTTCAAAGTTATTGAGAAATTTCAAAATAAAATCCTCCTCAAGAGCACCCTCTGTACCTCCCGAACCAGAAACATTATTATCAGGCATGTTCGGCTAAACCCTGATATTTTAGTGTTTACTATCTGAGATATCTCATTCTCAATGAATCGCCCTGTATATCCTTGTTTCATCAATTTCCAAAAGCTCATTTCTTCTATAGTTTTAATGTGATTACATTTCTGCCTCTTACTATTTCGTTTTCGAAATTTTCGGTATTTGAAAAACGTTAATTCTTTTCAGATCATTTGATTCTGGATGTTCAATATCCAAAATCCCCTCTTCATTTATCATTCTCCTTGATTCCTGATTACCTACCCTTTTTCCACTAACACTATCTGAAAGAGTTTTTTTTCTACGCTCCCATTATAGTGTTAGTATTGTATTGAATCCTAAAATAATTGTGATATTCTATTCGATGGCATATCCTCTGAGAATAATTTAAGCAGAGGTCATCGTACAGAATACCCATTCCCTAAACTGTGGTACAGATTAGTCCACTTCAACCAATTTCAACTAGCTTCGCCCTTATAAATGTATAATGAAAGTCCTTTCTATTTTCATTTCTATCACCGCTTTATGGTCCACAAAATCACACAGATCTACAGTTTAGTTAGTACACCGTATTTTTCGAATTCATTAGTTTTGTTTTCATTAACTTTAATGAACCAAGAAAAAATTTCTGAATTAGAAAAATCAATGATACAAACTTAACTACGGATCTTGTCCTAAGGAAAATTATATTGATCAGGCAAGTAGAGCGCTTCACGACCATATAGGTATTCACGAACATCGTGTGAGAGTTTCAAAATAAGGAAACAAATACATTTACTTTACGATCAATGGACATGAATTGAAGGCATAAGTTTATGTTTAGTGAGAGTGTGTTCCTCTTAGTAGAGCTGAAGATTCATAGCGAGATACAAAAAGTCAGTGCAATCTAAACAAGAGAACACGAGTTGAAATTGAGCTACATGAACATATTGGCCTTCATAAGAGGTGTGGAGAAGAGCAACCATCTATGATCTGGGAATAGTGCCATTGATGTAAAATCTTAATGTTTGCAGATATTGAGAGCCTGATGTTTTATCAATTTCAGAATAATTACGTGAAGCGATAAGAGGATTGATCTGGTGAGATTTTTGCCACATGGTCGAAAATATCTTCTAGTTGCGTAATGAAAAGAACAATTTGCAGAGAATTGTACACACGCGAGTATGCCAATATTTGGTAATTTCTATTGCTTGTGTTGGATTTATGCCTTGGTTTATGTCTTCTGAAATTTTTGAAATGAATTCCTATGCCAAACGTTTTCCATATTTACCTTTCATCTCGGTGAGATAAAGTTCAGCATAATAGACTTCATCTTCACATGAGTCTACTCATATATCCTTTCCAAGTGATGCAAGAAATGAAAAACTACTAACTGAGGAAGAGAAAACACATTAGTAGTAATCATAATAACTGCTTTTGCCATCTGGGATAGACAACTCATTTCCGAAATCGAACTTTTTTATCGATTGGACCAAACGGAAGCAATCTCCTAATTTGAAGGTCATGAAAGTTCCTGGGAATACTTCCATTGGCAAAGAAGTCCAAAGCTTCTTCCTTCTTCAGAAGAACAAGATATTTATATAGGTATGCCTTCTTATTTGACGGTGGTTTGAAAAAAGAGTTCATCTGAAATCAAATGCTTTTGTGATATCTACTCTTTTTATCCAAGTCTTGCAATAAGTTATGTCTGGTCATGGCAAAATCAGTAGGTAGGTATTCGCTGGTATGTTTTCCAACAGATCCGGGTATGATGAAAATAATGAACAAACAATTTCTTATGAACAAAGTTTATTAAAATTAAATAGTGCTCAGCTTAAAATTAACAAATTGAGGCACAATATGCATCTTTCATCACATTTCAAATGAAAACTCTCCAACATAATCCATTTCATGGACGACACAGCAACATAATAATAATACAGAATTGAATATATATATATAAAAAGTCCGTAAGCTCTCTATAAGAACAGGTAAAGCTCAACCTACAGCGAAATATATCTGCGTAAATGAATATAAAATATCTGCCTACCAAAGCAGATCTAAGATGTAACAATTCGCTAGGCTGTCAAAATTCGTTTATGCTGTTAATGCTGTTGGTGATATGCACGTTCCAAGACTATCAGAAGTGATTTTATTCTGTTCAGTCACTATAGATATGTGCTTCATTGGATATTATGATCGGCAGTGGCCAACATATATTATGTCTGTATTGAAATTTATCACAAGTTTTAACGTTTGCGAAATAATCTTTCAAATTTAATTATGAACATATGATCAATCGATCACGATTTCTTGTTAACAATCAGGCAGATTTAATATCAATCGTTTCCATCATGATATCTTAAGTTTTGAACCATATGAAAAGAAGAGCATATATTTTTTTCGAATCAATAACATGCGTAAAATAATTTAGGTATCACAATATCTTTACGTTACTGAATACACTCTTTCAAATTTATTGGTTTCATTGATATCCATTGCATAGTTGGATATATGTGGATGTATTCCAGTCGTAGATAGATATAAATTCCAATACAGTAATAGCGCAATCTTCAACATACAATGGCTGAGATAGGATTCTCGGTGATATTAATGATATTCAATGGCCACTGTCCACTCGATAACTTGATTTTGAGCAGTTCTTCCAATGATGCTTTACGGAACATGGCCATTTTTGTTGGTGATAGCGGAGCAACTGAAAAAGTAAAAGTTATTGAAACAATATCTACCTATTTGGTATCACATTTAGGTATATTGGCAGAGTTGAAATATTCAAAAGAAGAACAAGTAGCTCATGCCAATAGAATTGGTTCGGAAATATCTATAATGAGATTAAATGAAATAAGAACATACTAGGAAATGATTAAATGTATCTATGAACGGGAAAGTCCTAGTATGATGTACATTTCATAAAATATTCAGTTCAAGAACATATCCTTCAAATTATGTGTTCACCGTGTTGAATGCCATGCAAGAAACAGATTCAAGCCTTGTAGATATATATCTACCTACTTAAGCAGTTACCTAAATTCTACAGGGAACTTGAGGGTAGGTAATAATATTGTTTTTCCACCACTAGCTATAACACCTACCATTATTTACTCCTTTACGAGGCATGAAGTCTGTTTTTACTGCCAAGGTAGTTTTCGTCATTTTGAGAACCACTAGTTAATACATTATACGAACTTTAAACTGGGGGAAAACAAACTGTTGTCTATGGATAAAGTGCATAGACTACATTGCATACAGCTTGCTGTAGCTGTAGTTGTCAAACTTGTCAATGACATAAAGTGTTGGCACTGTTGGTAGTGATAATGGTTGAGTTGGTTGATTTTTTACATTATTACATTTTTATTAGTTGAGTGAACGGGTGAAAAATGGAGATAGTTCAAACAATTCAAACTAATTATGACGAGCAAATCAATTGACATATAAAAGAACAGCTACAACATGTTTACAATATCCCGATTGTCCTGCTTTGCTTTGCTTTACTTCATGTGGGGAAGATTTCATCGCCGAAGTATGTAGACAAAGTGAAAAAATGTGCCTTTTGTTGAAGTCTTCTGCCTCACACAAAATTACATGATTAGCACGGAGAACTGCTTCTCCTTCCACCACTGGTCGGCTTTTTCCATCTAAATAGAGCAAAATATCTGCCAAAAGAACATCTATAACCGGCGTTATTAGCGTTTTCGATCGAATATTGACAATTAATGTCAATAAATTTGAAAACTTATCACTCTTATCAGTACACAGTACACAAGCTAATGGTACTAATGGGATTGAGTGAGGATTGAGTTTGTTTTCCACCCAGTTTTGACGTGGCTTTGACATGGAACGATGAGAGCCGAGCGCCACCTGGTGACATTGATTCCCGCGAATTAGGTATTTATCAATAAAGACTTGTCATATGCTGTCATGCTCATGGCTACTAGATTGTAATTAGAAATGAAAGGAAGTACTTTCATAGTGACAATGCTGGGTTCATCTTTCAGTTTCACAGAACTGAAATGATTGAAATTGCTAGTGGTGAAAAAAATTTAATATACACCTTGACAATGAAAAATATTATTACCACGAGACCTTAAAACCCCTCGGCTGAAACCTCTGGATATAATCTTGGTCCCTGGGTAATAATGATATTCTTTAGTACCGTGATGTATAAATAACTATTATACATCGAGGGAAGAGGTGTACTGAATAACAGAGGGTTCACAAAATTAACTTCAAATATTCACATGCGACAAGTTCACATTCCTTTTACATATTGAAGGGTTTCTGCTATAAGAAAATGAAGCGCATTCCTTTATTTCATTTTTGGATAAACTCCTAGGAAGATCGTAAATGCGGTGTTATCTCAATTCCTGTTCATGTAGAAATGATGTTGAATTTTCTGTTGATGATAAGAAATAGGATGAATTTCTGTATAGGTACTTAATCTCGACGATTATTGTTACTGAAACTTATCGAATTTATTTTTGCAGAGTCTCGAAAATCATATTGTCTATCGAGTCAACGTTATAACAGTAGTTGTTGACTGCAATTTGTTTAATGATATCGAGATTCCTACTGACATTTTCCTCTAAGAATGGGACATTCCGTAGCCTGCTGTATATCATAGTATATTTCATATGTTGCCAATTTATGTTGATGTGGGTGACTTGATTCATCATAAATAGTGATATCTGTCATCACAAAAACATTAATGAGTCAGGAATTGATAGCACAAAAACAAATTGCTTCCTTGCAACTCCTTCATGAAGATTGCATAAGACGATCCACAAGATTCCATGCAGTTCTACTTCATGAGGGCACTTGAATTCGGTATAGGTATTTATACAGGGTGTTTCGAAATTCAGTATCATGATTTCAGTTGCTTAATATTTCTCAGATCAAAAGAAGACTTATTTCCCTATTGGAATTTATCCGCAAACGCTTCATTACCGATATACAAAGCGTTGAAATTTCAAGATTTTTTCTTTCCTCTTTTTAGCTCTTTTTGTTTTCGAGTTATTGATATCTAATATAGGTTACGTTTTCGGGTTCACGACAGACAGTACGTCAAGTGATTGTAGGAATCTACAGGGATATATTTTTTCATTCTTTGAACCATTTTGTGGTGCGCCACTGTGTCATAGATTTTGAAATACGAAATGAGTTTTTTGTTTCGTTCATAAACTGTTTTGTTTCTACACTACACTGTTTTACCACTAACCAAACCGATTTTTTAACGCCTCGACACGTGTTTTCGCTAACTATGTTAGCATCTTCAGGAGAAGATTAAAACAGTTCCCTTGGCAGTCCCCACGAGATTAACCCGTCGAGTTGAGGCTTCGCACCCCTAGGCAAAGTCTATCCTAGGATTTCGCATAACGCGTGATCGTGGTCACTTTGGAGAGCTGCAGAACATCCCACCTTATTTTCCTTGGTTCTCACGTTGTTCTCTGAACATAACAAGATATCCCTTCTCGTGGGAACGAGAAAATAATAAAAACTCCGACCTTCCACGCGGCTTCACGTCTGAGCTTACTACTGAGATATTTCAACCAGTTGAGATAAATGGATCTCCAGTGAAGAGCAGGGAATCAAATGATACTTAATTATACCTTTTATAGAACTGATAAAATATGACAATATATCAATGAATATATTTACTATTGACATTCAACTACTTGAATATACTACATGTTCCAAATTACTTCACAACAGAGGAAGCTGATGTGCTATTATATATAAGTATATTTAGGGATTTAAGTACCATCACACTAGGAATCATATTCATTCGTACCATTATCATCATGCTTGTTATAATCTAGATTACATTCCACAAGTGTTTCTATGTAATGGTTATGAAAACTAGTCACAATCAATCAGTCTTGCGTCTGAAATGTAAGAGTAAATGGAGAAATTCGGTGTCATTTGTTTGATGTGTTATGAATTTCAATAAATGCATACTTGAACTGTTATATACGGTTGCAAAACTGTTCAAAACAATTCAGATTAGTTTTTGTTAATTTCGATTCATAAAAAATGCCAATCGTAAAACCAACTAAACTCACATCGAAACAATCTCGGTCCTTATCAAAAGGCCCTTTCATTTGGATTTACCTTCAACTGACAGACAGCTAGAGCGCCTGCGCCCGACTTGTATGGCTAAAACAACACGACAGAGACCTTCACTACATCTGCCAAGGTTTTTGCCCCAAACCATGGTTAAGCAACGAATGTTTCCGGTGCAAAAATAGCAGACTGAATACATTTCAGAAGAAAAAACACAAGAATTCGTTCCTGTGAACAGGCAAACCTCCTAATATACAGGGTGTTAGTGAATAAGTGCGACAAACTTCAGGAAGTGATTCCTTGTGATATTTTAGGAAATAAAGTTCATATAAACATGTGTCCTAACTTGCTTCGTTTTTGATATACAGGATGTTGAAGTTGAAAGTAGTGATTTTTTCTATTTATAACGCCCCTGTATAACTTTTCATGGTGCCAAAATTCAGTATGGTTGGAGACTGAAAAAGTCCCAAAATTTCAGAATGATTCTTATTGAGGTTATTTGAGTAATCTCAATGAATGCACCTACATTAAAATTTTGAGTCATATCGAATTTTTATTGTTTCCTCAAATACTGAGTGAGATCCAAAAGAAACACAGTGGATGAAGAAGTTGATATTCCAATTGTTTAATCTGATAAAAATATGGAAGTCAGAGAAGCTAGTGGTGTACAATGATATCAAACGTAAATATCGATAAATCAACCCACTGTGACGCCACTGAAAATATTTTTTCGAATCTGATCACATCAAAAGACATTGTCTTTGCCAATTGAAATTGGTAAAAAGTAATTTGAGTTTTGATTTGAAAAACCATTTTTCATGGAAATATTAATATACCCTGTATCTTGAAAACGAAGCAAGTTAGGACACATGTTTATATGAACTTCATTTTCTGAAATATCACAAGGAATCAGCCCCTGAAGTTTGTCTCCCTTATTCACTAACATCCTGTATATCAAAAGTGTTATCAAAAATATGATCTCTTTCCACTATAGTGTTGAAGGGTTGTTGAGAGTAAGTTGACATTCGTTTGTTAATAATGATCATTGTTTTCTAATCGAAAATCTAGTGGCGGAGGAATGAAATAAACCTATTTGATATCTTAACCTTACAAACTTTTTCTATTACTGTCAATATCCACTTCTCTGACAAATGTGTGAATGGAATATTCTCATGATGAAACATTTTGATTATATAAACATCATTTATATTGACACATTACCTAATACAGTTCTCAACATTCTAGATGGACCACTCATAATTTTACTCTTTTTCGACGACCTGTATTTTTTGAATAAATTGACCGATTTTTATGCGGTTTTTCATATCGGATGTGATATCTCATTGGCTTCGAAGAGAGCTAGAACACTGTGAAAAAATCTGCATAACGAAACTCAATTATATATTTCAATTTCATTTCCGGACATCTCCGTGATTTTTTCCTATTTAGCCATTGGAACAAAAAAAAATGATTTTTTTGAATAGCCTTCTATTTCTTGATATTTTTCTCCACTCGAACTGAATAATGGAAAATATATGTTTCCATGTTTCCTGAAGATCGATGGAAGACGAATAAGGCACCATAGTAGAATATATAAGGTAGAAATAAAACGGGCAAAAATCTCATTTCCGTAAAAAAAATCGAAAACAGTGATTGAAATCATTGCCCATTCGATTCATGATATCCAGAAACGGCCTTCTCGACATCCATTATTCATGTACTATATAATGTATATATATTTATATAGATTAGGTATAGGTTTTGTGGGGATGCAGCTGATGTGGGACTCAAAAGAAAACTCTTTTTACTTTTGAGAAAGCTTTCGGAATTTATTTGATTCCTTCGTCAGTCTCTCTAAAATGGAATGCACAATTATAATATTCAGAAGAAATGGGTATTAAAAATTACTTACAGTATATGAGGTTGTAGAATTGCAAATCAGAATAATATGTAGTATAAAATTGTAAAAAATGCATAAATTCATGGATATAAAAACAATATAACTTTGTCAAAGTGACAATATGTAACATGAAAAAATACATGGGGTTGAAAAATTAGATAGGTAAAAGGTTGATCAAGATGGAATTGAATTCATGGATATATTGTGTCTATCATGCCTTTTATTCTCTATTTCTAGAATATTTGAATAAATTACATTTAAATTTTGAATATCTGTTTTTTTATTCATTGAGCATTTTTCATTTTTTATATAAATCATTTCTAAGAAACATCTCTTGAAAGTATTTTTCTCTGATACTAATATCGAGATGTTAGCAAAATCCATTGGATGTCCAGTATCATTAATGATTTATATAAAAAATGAAAAATGCTCAATGAATAAAAAAACAGATATTCAAAATTTAAATGTAATTTATTCAAATATTCTAGAAATAGAGAATAAAAGGCATGATAGACACAATATATCCATGAATTCAATTCCATCTTGATCAACCTTTTACCTATCTAATTTTTCAACCCCATGTATTTTTTCATGTTACATATTGTCACTTTGACAAAGTTATATTATTTTTATATCCATGAATTTATGCATTTTTTACAATTTTATACTACATATTATTCTGATTTGCAATTCTACAACCTCATATACTGTAAGTAATTTTTAATACCCATTTCTTCTGAATATTATAATTGTGCATTCCATTTTAGAGAGACTGACGAAGGAATCAAATAAATTCCGAAAGCTTTCTCAAAAGTAAAAAGAGTTTTCTTTTGAGTCCCACATCAGCTGCATCCCCACAAAACCTATACCTAATCTATTGATTTATACAGCTACTAATATTAATTGAATATATTTATATAGATACGTTTTCGAAAATTCACCTCTAAATGAAATGCAGGAGTTTACTAAAATCAGATTTATTCCTTTTTCTATGAGAGAATATGAAAACAGTTCTTTCCAATATTCAGTTCGGCTAGAGTACTGGACGAGGATTCTGTAAAAAATAATTCTTCTTCTTCCTTGTTTCTTTAACGTCGGCCTTTTTCTGCTACTTAGGCTAATCACCGACGCCGGTGAGCACACTACCTCCAACTGGAAATTTTGCCGAATCCTCTGGTGATCTAACCAGAGGTAGGGATCTTTAACGAGTACAACATCCATGGCCTCGGGATCGCCGGCTTAACGTCCTCTCCGAAGGACGGCATATCCGTACCATATCTTGTGCTCATTGATATGGTAGCTGTAGCTATATTTCTGTTCCAAAGCCGAAGTCATGACTGACTTTTAATCAGGAAAATATGTCTTGGATTTCGGCAGCATCACATATGTTGACCATAGTGTAATAGTTCCACTCAACTCCCTGTGCATGTTCCATTCTGCGGACTTTTTCATAGTGCTCTAGCTTTCTTAGAAGTCGATGAAATATCACATGTGATACGAAAAACCGCATGTGAATCGGTCAATTTCTTAAAAAAATACAGGTCTTCAGAAAAGAGTCAAATTATGAGTGGTCCATTTAGTGTGTTAAGAACTGTATATATAGTTTAATGAAAGCATGACAATCTTCGAAGTCATTATTGTCTCAAATTCATTTCATTATTGAGAAAGGAGTGTTAAACAATTCTCACACCTCCACCTTTTGTAGAAGTGTGAAATATATGAACTAAATTAGCATACTTGAAAGTTCAATTTGTGAGTGATCAGTGATTGAATAAACATGGAATATTAGATTCTATACTATTTAGCGTTCATTACTTATATGAAAAAAATAGATATAGTATAAATTAAACAGAGTGAATGGAATATTGTATAAAACAGGCAGTGTTACAAAACTTATATCATTTTTGTAATCTTCGGGTTTGTTGAAAGAGAGTATATCCAATTTGAAAAGAAGAATAATCATTGCCTTTTAACTAACTGTCTGTATACCTAGATACATATTATGATATTGACAGAAGGTCATGCATGCTATTTTTATAGCCAACTCAAACTTTGGCATCTATATATTATAGAAGTATTCACTCGTCGTTAGAAGAATTCCAAACATGAATATGATTTTTTGACGAAGAAATCGAAGGTTGAATCAATCACTAGAAGGAACCATCTCTATGAGGCCACCAAATATTTTGGTCGTTGAATAATAGTGGACAAGTTCAATCAAGGTTTTATTATTTATCGATCATTTCTCTAATGTATCGACCAATTCAGAATTGAGAAAAGTAGAAAAAACGAAAATTATTGAAAAAATATGTTGCTGTATATAAATGACTCCCTAATTCTATATTTTTATACCGATATTTTGTTCAAACATTCATGCACGCTTAAATGCATTCGCCATTAGTCAGTCTGATTCATCTCAACTCGAAAGTTGCAGGTTGTATTGTTGTACCATCATATTCAGGTTAACAAGGTTTGGGGCACTTGTAATGTATAGCTGGAAAATAAAATAAATAAATTAAAGTTAAGAAATGCTTGCGAACAAAAATAATGTGTATACAACTAAGTTACTGAATACGAAGCTCAAGAAACAGGTCGAACTGTGTACAGAAATTGAGGAAGAAAAACCAAGTCGATGTAGTTCATTTATTCGTAAATTCAACATTATATTTTCTACAATTATCAACCTAGACAGTTGTAATTTTAAGAAGAAAAATATGTATCACAAGCTACATTTAACGAAAAAAATGTGTGAAGAATATGCTATTTTGAAGCATTTTGAACATCCCATCCCTCTTTAATTGCAATTAGTGTATAAAATTCCGAATAAAATGCACAAAAACAAACACATATTTTGAAAATGTATACATTAATGAATTGATATAAGAGACAATTGAAGCAGGTAGATTCAATGAAATCATTTCAGATGCTTACTGTACAAGTGGTTCTATAATAAATACATTAACCTAACGTTTATTTCGTATCACCTAATATTATCTATATTCAAAGCACGACCAATTAAGAAGGCATTGTGAAGTAACCTTCACATATATCTACTCATTTCATTGTATTTACATTGGAAATTAGGATTGCTCAAGTGGTTTTTCTGGATGTTGCAGCATCAATAAATTCATTGAACTGATGGTGAATATAATTCTAATTCATTTCACCTCATTTCAAAATATTACCTACTCAAGTTATCTTAGAACAGAGCAGAGCTGAACAAATCTGATATATTAATATATTTTTATGATTAATAGGTTAGGTAGGTATATTCAAAGCTGCTAAAATTGTCTCTAATATTTTTCTAAAACCGGTTCAATTCTAGGACACAGCTTCACTGAACTTGCTGAATAATGAGAAAAATAATTTACGTGAAAGAAGGTGCACAATGGAATAACAAACACAAATGAATTTGAACAATACATACCATTCGCGCATGTCCAACCAACGCAAACAATGTAAAACAAATGAAAACTCAGTGTATGAACGTGTTACACCCTACTTTATAATATAATAATATGTCTTGGACATATTTGCGATTTCAATTGAACTCTTTTGGAAAACCCTCAGTATAATACATGGGGAAGAAGCTCGAAGAAAGCAATACCCTCTAAGAATAACTTTCGTTTATTCTCCTAGAAACTGAAGTTATTTAATGTATTCATCACATGTTTGCTTCCGAATAATCGACAATGTTGTTTTTATTGTTAGGTAATTACAGAGAAATGTCTATTATTTCCCTGTAATTACCTAACAATAAAAACAACATTTCAAAGTTGCAATTTGAAATTAGATTTACATTGTGGCTAATTAATTCATAGAACGTCAGAAAACACAATTCGAAAATAATTTCAATTCGGTTCATTTTCCAAATTCATGAGAATAAGTTAATCAAGATTGATTCACATTTGCTAATTCATAAAGGCAATATATGTAAGACAAGGAAGACACAATTAGAAATCACGTAGTTGTAACAATTGTATTAAACCATTTGAATAGGAAAAACTAACAGAACATCAAGGTTCAAAGAACATTCAGCATAATAGAGTGAATTGTTAGAAATCATTTGTATAGGGGTTATTTATCCGAAATTATTAAACACGTATCACAAAATCAACGTTAATCAGACCAGTGTATGAGAGGGAATAAGCAATGAGCAATGAGCAAGAGATGTCGAGGTTCAAAAGTTCGGTATGGTTATACAGGGTGTCACTAAAAGGTCTTTACATGCACTTATAACCCCATATAGCACCAGTACGTACCAGATTAGGACCGTGGACGTATTAGGTACGTACTGGGGACGTCCATCAGATTCCGCGCATTTGTACATTCCCAGTACGTCCAGTCAGGACCATGAATACCTGAATCAACGTAAATTCGCCTTTTTTACTCAGATAGTTAAAAGAGAGATCTAGACAGAGTAGGAAAGATATTATTTTAAATGAAAAAAAATACAGAATTTGCTCCTACCGGAGATCGATCCCAGGACCTTTAGATTACCTATTACTGTACAAAACACCTATTGATATATCAGTAAACAAGAGATTATGTGCGAATGTCGATTGACCCTTCACATTGATACTTTCATAGAATCAGATCACCACGGCGGAGAATACCTAAATAGATGTTTTGTGATTAAGTACGGCCAGTAAAAAATGAATTGTGAGAATTGTATTAGGTTCATGTTTGCACGGTTCCTACATGAATTGATATCAGAGATCGGGGACAGAAATCATATGCAATGATTTCAATCATTATCAAACAATTTATTCAATCCCGTCCACAAAAAGTCGGTAAGTCCAGAGTTGGACGTACTCAGTACATCGGAATCGTACGTACCCAGTACGTCTACAAATGTACGTTTTCAGTACGTCTTGATAAGGTCCTGGACGTTCAGACCTAAATCTGACCTGAAATGGACGTCCCCAGAACGTCGAGTGCTACATAGGACATATGCCTCAGAACAAAACGATTCGACAAAAGCAAACTCACCTAAGTACAAGGTTGCTCAGTTTGGGCGCTAGATGGCTCTGATGTTACAATTTTCAAATCGGTTTTGCTTCATAACTTCGGAACTGCTCATGAGATTCCACCCAAATTTGGTACGATGATAGCATAGCTTCATTGGGCAGTAAAACCCAGATCATGATTATGAATAATATCATTCCATGGGCGTACTACTCGAATTTTTCAGTGAATCTGAAAGTTCTACGCCCATGGAAAGAAAGGGGTTTGGATATGAAATTTGGATTGCTTAACTTGTTTACTATGAAAATGGCACTCTTGGCAAAATTTGAATTTTAGTAATTCGGAGCACCAGTCAACACTTAAAAGATTCGGCAGCGATTATAATCTCTGGATTAGGTAACTGATATATCATAAAAATTGTTCAACAACTTCATTATTTCCACGTATTAAATTAAATTAAATGTGCTATCAGCTATTTCTTGTTGCTTTGTTTTGTACTGAGTGAGCCAGAGACTGAGCAACTATGTACTCAGGTGAATTCGCTTGTATACATTCTTTTCGCCGTGTGAATCTTTGTAGATGTGAAAATAATGAACATTCTGAACAATTTTCATGACATATCTGTTGATCGCTTCAATTTTAACTGATGCTTCGAATGACTAAAATTCAAATTTTCTCAAAACCATAAGAGTAATGGAGTTTTATCGAGAGTGCTTTTTTTGTAGCAAACAAAATATCAGATGTTTATTTAGTGAAAAAAGCAAGTTCGGCTCCCATGGAATGATATTTATAATAATTATAATATGAGTTTCATTATACCCAACGAAACTATGCCAACGTACCAAATTTGAATGAAATTTCATGAGTCGTTTCATTGTTATGAAGCAAAAACGATCTGAAAACTGTGAATTCGGAGTAGATGGCTGAATTCAGTTGTCATATTACTGATAATTATCACGTGATAGGAAATACACTCAATTCGTGTGTTCAAAAAAAAAGTTGGGGTTTTCCAAAAGAGTTGGGTGACATGTCATCGCTGATTCTAAAATTGCGAAGCAGTGTCTTGAGCGTGTGTGTCAATGGCAATGACAAGCTTTCATTATTATTCATTACCCAACACAAGTGAAGGTTTTGTAATCTTCACGATATATCAACAGGCTCATATTATTTGAAAGTATTCAACATCTCTACGTATCATATTATTGTTTTTGAGAACATGTATTATTGACTGAAATATTCAGTGATAGTCAGAGCAGTCTTCCACTTACCGTATCCTTCTCCTTGCAGGAATAGCCTGAAAGCTTCACTGACTTTCCCTGGTTGTTCTTCGAGAACCATACCGCAATCAGATATCTGAAGTCACATCAAGAAAATAGATTACTCTTTCATGCAAAGGGAATGAAATAGATTTTCCTACAACTGTCAAAAAACCGCACTATTTGAATATATTTTGTGTGCCTAAAGTGTACAATTTTTCAATATCAAAATACTGATTTATTATTCCACGGAAAAGTGTGAAAAACAGTACACTTCTTTTCACGGTTGTTGCTATGCTGTGAAATGAATGCTTGCGTGAAAGGGGTCCATTCACTGCGTTGTTGGTAGGCTGTTTTGTTCGAGGAACAAGTCTGTTCTAACAAAAATGACGCAAAACCGAAGTGTGTGGCTACAAAATGGTCGTTTTCCCTAGCCATACATCACACACTTCGATTTCGCGTAATTTTTGTTCGAACATACTTGTTTGACGAACAATACAGTCCACCAATAACACAGTTCTATGGGCTCCTTCACGGGATTCAGCAAGATAGCAAGCGAACAAATCAAGGCGACTGACTTTCTATGGAGCGCCAGTGAAATAGAGAAGGCAGCGGGAAGAAGGCGCCACGATACCCTCGCGTATTAGAAAATAATATGCTCGCATCTCATGTATGATTTGACCAGGTGTTATCAATACAGTGACATGAAATGAGTTGAGTTGAATGAGGTTGCCCACTTTTTTGACAGTTGTAGGAAGAATATTGTATGAAACACGTTCGTTAAGTTTTTTCCACTCATAGGAATTGCCTACACTTCCCACTCCTAGAAAAGTACCACTTCACACACTTGTTACATGAATAACTATTATGCAAGAACATTATGATGTATCTACTGGAGGCAAGTGTAGCTAATGCTGAACTATAGATTTTTACTGTAGAAACCATACTCTTTCACAATAAGTGCTAGTCCAGTTAATGTTACTCGACAATAATAAATCGATGATCGGTACCAGTGCCTTCAATATAATACTTGCAGGCTCTCAGACCACGTACGTCCAGTGAAAATATATAGGTACCCTTTTCGGAATCACTGTGTGAACTACAGTGAACTACTACTATATCAAAAATTGATGAGTTCTTGATTGTCGGTGTATCATTAGGATTATAAATAGCCCAATATATCAAGTATACTAGATCACACAAGTGAAGTAGAAACGATAAATCAATTCACCTTCATCCACGAAGAGTTTGTGGGATCCAGACGACCATTGAATGTGACAGTGTCGTCCATGTGTGGACTGAATGAACCAGTGATATTCATAACGGGCATAGCTAACGACGCATTCTTCTTCTTGGTTGGATCCATTTCTCGGTGGATATTCAGGTCCGTTCTCCTCACATAACTATCGATGAACAGGGCCAGATTGGTGGGATTCACGTTCCTTTCGAAGTAGCTTTTATATACTTGGACGAGATCATGGTTCCTGTCTTCCGATTGCTGAAATCAAAGTCAACCACTAATATAAAATATAGATTTTTGAGAATATATTCTTCAAATTTGTCTACTCCATAATTGAAGGAATGAGGAGCAAAACATTCTTTGTGCACATTTTTGGCAAATCGACCTGATCGTTGTTTCGACCCCCAGAAGTGTCATTCTATTAAGTGCTAAAATAACCCAAGCCAAATTTTGTCAGTCTGTGCCATCTCTCGATGAAGGTAATAAGTTGTTGAACGAAAAAACTGTAATAGTTGAGAGTAAAACGGCTCAAGTATCACTTAGGTTGTTTTACTCTTCAACATTTGTCTGATTTTGTTTCTGTAAACGAATAGTTGAGTATATTTCGCCAGTAAGTCGAGTTGAAGTTATCAGCAGTAGATGTTTATTGCTTCATTCTCATGTCATTTTAAAGGTCAAATTCCAAGCAATGACAGAGCTCTGTCCAATAGATGAGCATTACTTGATAGAAAACGAAATGACTACGAAGGAAAGAAATAAAATATTCCGCTGTTATGTTACAGCTGAAATAGTATAGTGCATAACTCGAACGGAATGCTAATTTCATTCTCGTTTGATTTGCAGCATTCGCATACAGCTCATGCTGCAAACTTCATTCTTGTAGGAAATTGCTATCATTCTATGCTAGTTAATCAATATATTATTTCCAAACTGCTAGAATTCACTATTTCTTCTGTATATAAGGATTTCTTTAGAAACACAACTTATGAAACAAAACTAGCAGAGAAAAAGGAAGGACCAAAATAGCACACTGAAACCCTGGCTTTCGAACTAATCTCTGATTATGAATGAAGTTTGTATTCCATTTCGTATTATTATTCAATGTTCTGATAGCACAATAATACATTTTTTACCTTTGATGCCTTTACTTGAGTCAAAAATTGATCAGGAGGGTAACCTCTAGAATTCTTACAAACGAACCATTGAATAATTGATAGGAATTTTCAAAATCACCTGAACTTCAACCTTCATTATACCCAAACAATCATTTGGTGACTTAGGCTGTTTTGCTTCTTACCCCTTCAAGTGAATCGCTTAGGAGAAAGAGGAAATAACTACTATTGTGGGCAAAACTGAACTAGCATAGCCATTTTGTGTTTTGGGTATGTCCACATGAATCTAGTCAGAAAAGGGAACTATCGCGCAATTCCTTAATAAAATGCGTCGCGAACAAAAGATCGCATAGTGGAAGGAAGGAATCATATTACATGAAATCTATGTTTGAAATTTCTCCATTTTTTCTTTAAATGCGTATAACGATTACGTGATGCCCGCCCTCATTCAGCTGTTTAGTGTTGCCTGTTTTATCAGTTACAGTATTTTATTATTGTCAATGTATTTCTCTCAAGTTTCTGGATTCTCTTCTGTTATTTTCATCAATAAATGGGTGAAAAATGAGAATTACATGAAAATATAGTCTGATGAGGAAATAACTTCAAATTTCCATCCTTAATATCTCTCAGGCGATACTGAAATTGAGGAAAACTAGACTCCCAATGGATCCATTATACCATATTCGTGAATCTTTTCTGAGAATGAGCCTCACGTAGAATAAACCGTCTAAGAGTTATACAGTTTTATTTCATTTCCCAAAATGCTAGAGTTGGTAATTATTCCCTCCTTCTCTTATGCAATTCAATGTTGATGGCATACACCAAAACTAGTTACCGGAAACTTAAATTGCAATTGGAAGTTGTATTCGACTGATATTGTATCATAATGTATAGATTCAACCCAGCAAACATCGAATCTCTGGCCGCCATCTGGCCCAATGCATGATCAGTCGGTAGAGTGCTGGCAACGGCTGAGCTGATGCCATTTCACTACGTCGTCTAAACATAGGCCCTTTGTATGGGTATATTGAAATCATTCAACTGTAATCCAGCCGGCACCGGGCCAATAAAAGGCATCCGCGCTTTACCAGACTTCAACATATGATGGAGTCCGACCACGTTAACTTTGGGACAGCATGTGACGCAACGCATATGCATATTCAATGCACACGCGACCACGTGCTGTCCCAAAGTTATCGTGGTCGGACTCTATTACCTACACATCAGCCCTCTCCTGTGTAATTTCGATAAAAAGATATCATTACTTTATGATGAAAAAATGTATCTATAATAAACATAGGTAGGTATATTTTCATTATTTTCAAGTTCTACCTATATATCAAGTGATCCTTCCGACAGTGATGGAGGAATAGTAAACGTTAATTCACCTATATTATATTATTTTTCGTTCTCCAACATTCCGTTATTGTATTCGTATAGGTATCCGATATTTGCTCGCTGATAGGTAAATAAACCTACCACCTAATGGAGTCATCATAATATTATATCACTAAGAAATGTTTGTCCTCTGTTATGATATGATTATTATAAGTATTCATAGATAGTACTCGATCATGAGTCATCCGTAGTCATTATCTAACAAGAAGTGAAATGGCTCAGTTGGTAAGATACCGGCCTAAAGGTCGCAGGTTCGAACGCGGCGACTGGTCACTTTTTTTTTAAATTTTAGGTCTGACGGTATACAGACATCGGTGACATCGGTGACCTATTGACGTCTGACCGACGTCGTTTGCCGCTCTTTTGCCGCGTCGGCAGCTTCTGGCAAGCAGGTTTTGGGTCGACGTAATAACGACCGAAATTGTTTGCTGGAAATATTCCAAAATCAATCTCGCAATATCCTCTCATGTGTAATGAATGGTTTTCAAGAAGAACCTACAAAATTCTTCAGGAAATAGGGACAAACTTCGAATCTCTTTTGAATTCAACTCCAATATATCTAAATGAACCAGTCCACTGAGAGATAAATTCCTTCCATGAATAGATACTATGATGAAGTGCACGAAATGCCTCCTCACCCTTCCGAAATGATGCCACATGAGGTAGTCCAACACCCCCTGGGTCATTCCCTTGGATCTCAAGTGTCTGGAGTTGAGTTTCTGATACCCCCATTCTATCCAGCCCGCTTGGGTGCTGATGCAGTTGACGAGACAGAGGGCGGACACTTGGTCGGGGTGGCCGAGGGCGTATCGGCACAGGATGTTCGCGCCTGCGCCCACTCCGAAGCCGATGAACTGCTTCAAGCCGAAATGCGTCATCACGTAGCTGATCTGGTTGGCCAGTTCGTCTACTGTCGGGTAGATGTAGCTGCGGAAATATCAGATCTACAGTGACTGCATTTAACACAGTACAGTGACGACAACTCCGCCGTGTTTAGGCTAATGTCAAATGCTCTGTTTTTGTCTAATTAGTTAGTTATGTTTTTTGTTTCGGATATTTTGAAAAGCATTATGTTGTTATTCGATATAATTACACACTTCTACTTTTCGCCCTCACTTCCCGTCCTCACTTCCCGTCCTCACTCATGTAATAATTCAATCATTTTTCCTATCGACCAATAGAAAAGATGACATGCCATTGTCGTCACTGTGGTAAATGCAGTCTCTGTAATCAGATCATGGTTGGTTGTGGACAATTTCATTTTGTAATAATCGGTAGCAACTTCACTCAACATCCTAGGATCTGAGTAACATAGATATAGATATAGAAAATTGTACACATCTCCAGCGTTGTTAAGGGTGTGTAAGTTCTTTACTTAAAACAGTTGTGGGAATAAGATTATTCCATGAAAAGTACCATTAATTCAATCATTTATTGTTGAAACCACTTACAAAATGGCATCACCTTTTAGTTACAAAGATACTCACTCTTCTGGCAGGGTGTGAGCACCTTCTTCTTGACCTGGAGCATTTATGTGGTAGACGCAAAAGTTTTCGAGTAATGCCCTCATGTCTATGTAGTTGAAGAATGCTTGAAAACTGGAAATATCTGAAAAAAATTATGATTCCATCAGTATTTGTTGATGAACCTGAATCAAATACAAATATTCCTGTCATGCCATATACCTGAAGAAGCTGAGAAGAACAGTATTCCATTCAAAATATATATTCAACATTTTCATCAGCATCAACCGATTGGAGGTTACCGATGAATATGAATATTGACAATTGAGTTAAGGATAAGAAAATTACTATTTTCTCAATACCTACTGCAGTTCTTTCAGATTCTTTCCCATCGAAGCAGGCGTGTTAGACTGTTGCAGAGCAGCACACATTATTCGAAATCAAATTATATGTATAAAGTTATATTTCTTGCGAAGTTCTTCTCACCAGTTGTTTTTTCAATCAACGAATTACAATAGTGAACTTAGAAAGATGATTCCAATTCTAAGTATCATCATTAAAATGGAAAAAGCTGACCATGAATCATGATGAACAATATATACTTTTGGAAGATAACACTTTTCTTCTTGTTTGAAAAACATCTTTCGTCTTCAAATTTGATTGAGAGCATCTTTAGACATAAGTAGGTACACGTATTTCCCGAAATTCAATGCGATTCGCATATTATAGCTTCATTTCTATACAAATTGCGCACAATGTTACGTACACAACAGCAAATGACAAACGTAAAACAAATTAATTACTGGCATAACGAATCCCAATTGAATCAAATAATTCAAATACATTATTAAATAACAAACAACGCAGTACGAGACTCATGATACAATTATAGGCTTTGTCAACAAGAAACGTGTTAGAAAACAACAAGCATCTTCTATATTTAAATTTCAGATTATTCGCAACTCACAATTCAATCCCAGATCGTGGTACGTCAGAATCGCAGGTTTATTTCTAGATCCTTGAATGGCAACGACAATATTTCCCCGATCCGTTTCAACGACTTCTTCTTGTGCAGAGGAATCATCTCTCGACAGAGACCGAGATGAAGGAAATTGTAACTGAATGTTTTTCAGTTCGATATCGTCCATGCTGTCAGAAGGCATAGCACTGAAACGTAAATGCAGTGTTATTTTTTCGATGTATATACGGGGTATATACCGCGTGACATAGATTTTCATGGTATTCGATCTTTACATGTTTCTATATTGCTGAAATTATAAAAATTTAATATGCTCACTGTAGATGGCACAATTTGACATACATATTTAAAAAAAAAAAATTCCGGTTCTTCCCGAAATTACATCAATTTTCGATTATTATATTCTCGAAATCTTATTTATCTGAACCCAATGTTTTACTTGTAGTTGATATTTTGTTTGTCAGAACACCCATTTTACTTTAGGTTAGACGGTTAGAGAAATGGTTGTGTATACTTAGTATAATAATCAATATTAATGAGTAAGACTCAGGCTATAGTATTCAATTCATTTATTTATTGAATAGCAACTCGAACGTTTTCGGCACTAGGCCATCATCAGGAGAGTATATCTCATTATTATTGATTATCATTTTACTTTACTTGATACTCTTTCCTTCTCTCTCTACACTCTCCTCACGGAGCATCCTGAACTGCGCCTTTTGAAAATTGAAACTGAAATTTCGTAATATGCCTTTGCAATTTGTTTTTTTTTTCTACTTTTCAATGAACTCATCACCTATTATCAGTAATATAGAAATGTTTCAAATAATCGAAATAAGGTTATCCACAAAAAAAAGTTAACTCTTTTTTTTTTCATTGAACTTTATTTCCTTCTCAGCTTGTCTCAATTTAAATCTCCTTCCTTTTCTTTCTTCTTCTTCTCGTTTTCTATTTTTTCACTCTTAGATTGTAGGGTGTTGATTTTTTGACTTTCTTGTTACCGAACATTAATTTCTTGTTTAATGGTCTGTTATTTTTTGTTTGTTGGTCCCCTTCCTAGAATACGTCAATCCTTCAGATTGGATTTTCATACTCATTCATATTGACAACCTTCAATATTTGACATGTGATATATTCAACCTCAAAATGGCTACATTTTTTTGGCCTTTCAGCCCTCATATAAGAAATGATTTTGAACAACAGATAAATAGTTAGAGGACCAAAGGACAAAATGGTGGGTTCACGATGATTCCATGACGATGAGATTTCTACAAAACTTTATCGAAAGTGTTCTCAGCTTCCAGCAAGAAATTCGACCACTTTAACGATTGAAATAATGGCCTAGATTCTACCTAGGATTTTGTCATTCAGGAATCATCTTTGACCTAAATTCAGATAAATGGTCCTTGATATTTTCATATTCTCCAGACAACTAAGCTACAGTCATACAAATGAAAATTGGTATCAGGTGTATACATTCACAGGCAAAAAAAACCGGCCACCAAAAAATTTTGCCAGATTGTTCACCCTGTAACTTTTTAAATTCTTGTCCGATTTTGGTGAAAATTCGACCGAACCGTATATTCATGTTTCGGAATGTTAGCCTGACCCATTGGGACCAGAGCCAATCTGATGGCAAAGGTAAGTGGTTGAACTTAGCTTCATTATGTTTTGGATTGAAGTTTGCTTTCTTGTCGATAACCACGTTTTCAGAAAAGATTCAAGGGTTCTAAGATAGTAAGGATTCTTTGAATTTTAATCAACAATAATTCAGAACCTATCTAACATTTTCCTTCATCATGTTTTGAATTGAAGTGTCATCCTTTTCCGTCCTTCTTAACACAATGGTTCTAGATTTACGCCAATATCTTCTTTTTATGAGAAGATACAAGTGTTTTAAGAAAGAATAGATTCGCCCTTCAAAGTGATTTCCAGGCTATTCATCAAGTCTATACTTGAGAAATTTGATCAACTGGATGCCACGGCGGTTGAATGAAATGACACTCGAAGAGATCATACTCGTTATTGACTACATGTCTGCTTTTTGTTCGTTTTTTGTAATCAAGGTTCATTCCGGTAAGTGCAAAGAATATAAGGTAGACATAAGTGATATTAATTATTCAATGAGTTTATGTGGGTTCTAATTATTGTTAATGAGAATTGAAAAGGGCCATACTTACATAGTACACTCGTATTTTGAGAAGGAATCACACTTGTATCCAAAGCCTAATGAAGCAAAAATTTTGCCACAGGGCGTTAAGAAGTGAAGGGGAAAATAGTAACTTTGGTTGTTCCCTTTATAATGATCAAATCATCAGCTTTTCACGGAAACTATCATTCAGACTAACATTCCGGAACATGAATGAACAATTTGATCAAGAATTCACAAAAATAGGTTAAGGATTGAAAAACTTACAGGATCAACAATTTGGGCAAATTTTTTGGTGGCAGTTTTTTGCCGGTGAGTGTAGATTGAAGACATAGATAAATATAACCATATTCGAAAATACTTTTTTCGATTATCGCCCCTGTTTTCTATGTTCCCAAACTTGATATAAATTTTCGAAAATCAATAATAATCATTATAATAACTCGTGTCGTTCCTTCACTCGATGACTAACAGCTAGATAGGTAAATCCATGGTATCTATAGACATGGATCTTCAACGATCATCATCATCAAACCATGTTCAGAAGTATGAACAATAACTATACCCAGTACAATTTACCATGTTCAGAAGTATGAACAATAACTATACCCAGTACAATTTACGAGAATAAATATTTCATTGGATAATTTTATTTTCTTCTATGTATTCATTTGCAGTCAAGATATTGCTGTAGGAATCATGTATCTGTCTGTTTACTTAGAAATTGAAATCGATCAGGAAAGATTATTAGGTCATCGATAGCTCATCTTTTCGTGGTTGTAAGTTATTTCGAATTATGTACTGAAAATCGCTGAATGGAAAGTATTGGTTGAACTAACTAGATCAGGTTCATTCGATCTAGTATAAAGTTTTAGGTACACAAACTGCGAATAAGACTGATCAATGTATGTATGAAAAAGAAGTTGGCATTTGTACTTTGTCTATGCCATCGAATATTCATCCAGAGAGTTGGATGATTTCAGTCCTAATAATTACTAGTATATAGACAGAAGAAAATGAGAAGTCTCTTCATAAAACCTATTATAAGACTAATCAAATTTCAACATTTAATATATAGCAAAAATTTAGTAACATGCAGTGATCTATCACATACATGATTTTGTGCTTCTCAAATACATGATTATTTCACAATCTGATGATATTAAACAAATGAAGCTCACGTTACTCCAACTGACCAAATTTTTGCAACTTACCTGAAAACAAAACAACACATCAAATTCACTAGTCAATCTACTCATCTAAAACTCACTACTGAAATTATACTTAAGCAAAAAATGTGTTTTTTGTTCTTACCCCAACAGGGCAGCCTCTTCAGCTAATCCAGAAGAAGGCATGTTTCTGTTTGTGTTAGTGTTAGCACTATCAGTCCTAAAACAAACGTAAAAAATAACGATCTATCACTAGATGGAAATAATACCGGGCTTAGTAGTGTAGGAGTAGTGCAAAAAGAAATATGCTGTCTTCAACACAATGTAATCAGAATATATGAAACAAGGGGTCAGTCGTATTCTGACCTCTCTCGCTTAACCTGCATGTGAATTTTAATATTGATCGAGCTTGCCCTGAACAATATCTGCAGAGGATCGATAGTGTGAATAAAAATTAAAGTAATCAGAGTGTTCTAAATATGTAGGTGATATGTGTTCAATAAAAGACATAGAGTAAAGTATATCCAATATCAATTGCAGAATATCCCGCACTGTGCGGCGTCGGCGTGTTTGAAGTTTTCTTTGAAGTGACTGCAGGTGCGGCACAAGATTCTGCAATTGTTTTTGGATAAACTATACCAGCTTGAAATGTTATAAATAGAAGCAACAAGTCACATGCTGTCATGCGACTTACCTGAAACTGTTAAGATCACTGCTGAAGTCAATGATGAACAAGAAGATAATAAAATTGCAAAAAAATCAGCAATTGTGATTTACCTAACAATGTATCATTCGGAAAACCATAGAATATGTTTGAATAACTAATTATGATAAGAGCTTACACGAAGTGAAACACAAAATATGCCAGTATATATTCCATTCAGTCACCGACATGTATTTCCCTTCTGAAAATTCGAATTGGGATAGAAGTAAGAATCCATTATGATTTGACGAAATCAAGCATTTTTTTCAATATTAAAGTCGATGTTTGGTGCCTGTGAGAGCGTTCAATACTTATATAAATTCATCAAATCTACAACACAACATTGAAATGTTCATTTTCAAATCTCTACCCATTATATCATGGACATATGAATGGAAGCATGTAATTTTTCAAATCGATCAACCTATTCGAACGAATAAATACAATTCCACTTCACTGTTTTTACGATAACCAAACATTTAAAGCATTGACAAATGTTTTTTTCGCCTTTCCCAGAATCTTCTGAAAGTGTAATTCCAATCTGCCAATTTCCTGAGTACCTACTTATCATCCGAAAGAATGGTAGATTCGATACTTTGGTCGTGCAGTTCCCCAAATAAAAACAAGCAGGTAATATAGAACAAACATTTTCGGAAGCTAACTTGGATCAACGCGATCATTGAAGTTATAGCTCAATTTTTATCGATAACATTTATTCATAACGCTGACGAAGAATTCAATCGGGTATATTCATACGAAAAGAAGTGGAATTGAGGAAAATTCAAATCCCTTTGAAATTAAATGATTATATTTATAGGGATAGATACCTACTCAGATTTATAAATCAAAATTTTATGACCATATCGTTTGGTCCCTTCTTATACATAATCAAAAAATAATAGAGCTAATGAATTCAGTGATCACGATAACCTTAGTTAGGTTCTCGTGGTGAGTAGACTGAATATGCCCAGGAGTTTAGTATGGTCAATCACACATCCATAAGAATTCTGTTATCTTTGCATTATAAATGTGACTTTTTTTCTTTTTCGTTTTGCCCTTTCCTTCATGACTTTGGGCTCTTGAAGTTTCATGAGGATACACATTGAACATGGCGTCACACTTCATGAGATCCGACTGCAAGATTACTACGTAAGTATTTTTATTTGAGATAAAATCAAAATTGAGCATTAGACTTCACTTTGTTTTGAAGTTCCCAATACACAGCTTTGTTTTTATTGTAATGTGAAGCATATTTGGAGAATTGAAGAAACGCCTTCTATGTCATAAAGACGATAATATGCTCGACTTCAATGATGCATCTTTCGAAAAGTGATTTTGAAAGTTATTTTTCCGACGCATAAAAAATATAAAATTTCGTCGACAGTGGAATCTGCTGACATGTCCGGATATCATACAGATTGTCTGAGAATATTACCTGCATAATTCGATTTACCATTCTTTTATATGAGTATCCGAAGTTTGATTCACTGCGGTTCGCGCCATTTGTTGAAAACACTTGCTTCCGAAGCATGCGCAATGACTTACTAACGATGTTCCGTGAGAAACTCTTTTTCGATCTATATATCTTTAACAGCTGGCAATCCCTATTTGCAGTCATATTTGCATTGGCAGAGTCATTCCATCATGCACAGAAAAAAAATTAGCTTTCATTCCATATGAACATGATCAATAAACGCTATAAACATATACATGTGACAAAGTGATACATGTTCACACCTGACTGCGAAGAGGTTGCAACCAACTACGCATGCAACCATCTATTTCGAAGTTCTTTAGATACAAAGCTGTAAGGTGGCATATATTTCATTTGAAAAACAAATGAATGAAATGTTTTTAATAAAAAATACCTGCGGCCACATTTAAATAGGCAACCCGATAAAAATATATCCTCCTATTCATACTTATACCTATGTTTAAATTTGATTTACATTGAATACTCGAGGAACGTGCTGATCTTGCAGTCGGATCTCAGACTGCTTTATTGACAATATAGATTTGGTATGGATATTGAAACGCAGATACACCGAAATGATTTTCAAACAATCCGAGATGGGGTTCACAAAAACAAAATTGTCTATTAACACCCCGATGGTGACGTGGTTTTACGAAACATGAGTGGTGACGTCGTTCTGAGAGACATTCAATTTTTTTGTGATAAAAAAAAAATAAAATCAAAATAAAGTTAGCGCTCATGATTTTGCTCGAAGGAAACAGATTATATTATTGAAAAAATACAATTCCATTCAAGATCCACTTCATCCGTTATACATGTTTTCATGGGATGGAGAAGACTTCGTTGGTCTGCTCCTAATATGGATGATTTCTGTTAGAATTCATATTTCATTTGTATGAGAATGTACGTTACGCCGGCACGACCAGAATTTATACCTTTGATTGAATACACTGAATTTCTCATAAAATGAATTCAAACAAGAAATATCTATGTTACAGGTTTGTTACTTCACTGGTGACGTCGATCTGACGGTCCGAAACCAATAACTACCAGCTTCCTGCTGACGCTAGCGCTTTCTGGTTTACAGTGCGCGAAGTGACGCAGAAAACGGTAATTTAGAGGAAAGCAGTAAAGGAGGCATTGCGCGATAGCGTCAAAATTCAAAAAACCATTGCAGGTCACCACTGCAGGGTTAAATATCTCCTATCGGAGAGCTGATAAGGCTCCTAGTATCAGATTTCATCAAAAAGAGCCATTTGAGTAAACAAACTTCCATAATGTTGCTTCTACATTGGTAGCGTACTCTCCGTCGGGCGTTTGATATCTCCGGATCAAAGTGTCAAAACCTTGCCGCAGACAGCTGCACTCATTTGATTCAGAATCGAAATACCTCGATGCAAATATCTACTCACTGCATCGAAAATAAGCGGTTGCTCCCTCATTTGAGGACAAAAACCTGTCTATTCACTCCTACGGGAGGAAAAAGATATTACTTCTTGTGGGAGGCCAATTTATTGGCATTAGCTTACGTCCTTGATCTCATACACTTCCCCATATTCCAAACGGAACTATAAATAAACTGCAATTACACAATAAACAAATTCGATGTGACAGAAGTGTCAAACATATTGATTTGGATCGAGACTCGAGAGATTTAATATATTATGGATAGACTGTTCGAAGCACAATTTTTAAGAACGACATGTAACAGCCTGTAGTTTTTTTATTTGAAAAGATACAAATTCGAAATTCACAAGGGTTATATTATCGATGATGGCGCTTCCTTTCAACCCAATGACAATTTTCTTCAACCACCTGTTTGATTGGAAGTAGACCCAACTTTTCATTTCAATGGCACCCTGTATATTTCTATAGCCTATCTTATTCGCCTTGAAATTCTCTATTCAACTATGTATTACAATTTGACATCCTTTCATTAATTGACTGTTAAACTGCATTTTATTGACATACATGAAGTTGGCTGTGGCCCGAATACAATGACATTTCGATGCTTGATAGGCTTAAAAATCCAAAGATCATTACTTAGACGATATTATCAGAATATTTTCCATACCCTAATCGGTCCCAGAAGATTGCCAATGATTTCATTGCGTTTAAAAAAAATCATCCGAAAATAACCTTTTGAGCCCTTTCCTTATGATGGGCACACGTGCGGCGGCCAAGAACAACCAGGGCATACTCCTGTCTATTGTTCATATTTTGGGGTTAATTAAGAAGCCTTTAAAAAGGCATGCAGTGTTAAATGGGAGATCGTCGCCTGTCACCATCACCTGGTCTATATAGTCACTTCTTCATTTCAAAAGATTTATTGTTCTCATAATGGGCATATTCACCTCATCTACGTCATACGTTACCTCGCCGGAACGATCCGATTCGCCGCCTCCGGATTGGCACCCAGCAACCGCTCGTCCTTGACTTGACATTCTGCCGCCCCCGAGCCGAAAGCGAAGGCCCTTTTCAGCCCGCCGAAGAGGCCTAAGGCGGCGGCGCCTGGCGCCACTGTCGTCGAGCGATAGACGTCGTTCGCGCCGATCGGGGGGCTGTATGGGCCGGCGCCGGACAGGGGGCGGTACGGGCCGGCGTAACCGGCGCCGGACATCGCGCCGGGCTTTTAGCGGGCTGGGCGGGACCATGCACATCAAAATTACATTCAGGTTGTCGTGGCGGTGAAGCTGGAGGGTGATTTCGTGTAGAGGTATGGGTTATTTCAGCAAAATGTTGAGTTATTTCTTTTGTTTGAGAAATTGGGAAATTATTGTTGAAGTAGCTTACAGAAAACAACTGCATTCCTGGCTAATACCACATGATATTGAATATCTGTGAATCATTGAAAATGCCCGAAATACGTAATTTGGAGGATGAGAAACAGTGATTAAATATCTAACATATGGATAATCAACAATTAATCACAGAATATCCCACACGGGTATATTATGATATCGACATATCATACCTTATTTTCGTTTGTTCTCTGTCATGTGAAATTGACAATTTAGAATTATTTTTATACCGAATCAATAATCTGTTAGACCAATTTAATTGAATTATGCATCACAATCACGTGTTTCTTCTTCACACTCTGGAGACGCAAATTCATAACTGTATGGGAGATACCCTTCAGAGATACGAATGACATTTATGGTTGAGTCTTCAGTGCAACCAGAATTCAGATGGCATGAGTCGGGTATTTGCCAGATTCAATATGGCTACAAAATTTGACTGATGTAGAGACATACGTATGGTCTCGTCAACAGGAATAAACTGTGTGAAAAGCAAGTACAGAAATGAGAAAAATAATAAATTGACAATGCGAAGTAGGGTTCTGGATTTTGATCACTTGTCTTAGTTCCATCGATTCTTGATCTCAAATTAATTTAGCTTCTCTAAATAGTCAAGCTAGTTCAACAGTCATATTCGTCTTAATTTCTATAGTCATTACCACCTCCAACCAACAAAAACCTTTTCTGGTGCATTTCTTTTTATACGCAACAATTTTGAAAATTTCGAGTTATGGGAGGACCTATATTCACAATGAAGCAACTGCTAATTTGTGACACCCAGTATCATAATATCGTAGGGTGCATAATAGCTGATTCATTCGAAAATAGTTATTTATTTTACTAGGCATTGAATCTGCTTTTATGCCATGTGAAACATATAGTTTTCTTTCCAAATTCGTTTCAATTCCATGGATAGAGTACAAATAATCCATCATTTTGGCTTTTGGCTTTTAATTCAATTATTACTTGGAGTTTGGGCTGCCAAGGCAGTACTTTCTCTGCCTAGTCAGAGGAAGAACATTCTTTCTGCCTATTGAGTGTCATTAAAGAGCCACTTTTGATGCCATTTGAAGAAAAATATAATTATTACTAGGAAGGCATAAGGAGTAATACCCAACTTCAACAATATCAATAATTATGATAGCTATACAACTTATCTTCATACTTCAAACACAAGATCATATATTCCCCAAAGTGCCATGACAATTTCTGAATTACGTCAAGTCAATCCAGATCAACAGATAGCCGAGAATGGCCAGTTATAATCAAGAAGTTATAACAAGTTATTACGATGGCACATTTGGATGCACAATAAAATCAACCTTGAATGCAATTGATTTACTAAAAACATTTTTTATTACGACTTTAAAAACTGATGTGAGCTTCAGACATTATATTTTATGTAATAGTTGTCACCAAATTCGTGCTTTGAAAAATTGTATATTTTTTATGAGCCTGCAACATTGGACTATCCCGACGTATTCGCATATATTTTTTAAGAACCCTAGTTAATTACTAGATCTTTCACTTCATAAGTACCTTTTCAATGCTCCGGATTGAAAGATAAGTCAACACAATTATGCTAAGGTGATGGCATTTTTTAGAGGAAAGAATTATTTTTGTGATGGTTCTCACCGAAAACATCCAGAATATTGACAAAGCAACACCCAGCGAGATTATAACCATTGGCTGATCAAGATGAGATTATATCATTGTATCCTTGATTCCATCATTCCAATACCAATTCCAATGTACCAATATTTGGTATCCTTTTCATTCCTTGAATTCATTTGAATCGAATAACCAATAGTTGATCTGAACCCGAGTCTGAACCTACTGCATTTTTTCTCGGATTTTCAGATGCCAATACTACTTCCATTTATTAGCTATTGAAGGGGTGAATGATTTGAAAATGCGGAAGATGATACGAGACGCCTACATGTTTCTTCAGGATTTTCATGAACCATTATACAACTTTCAAGAGTTGAATGAAACGAATCAAGTGTGAATATATGTCAAACTATTGTATATGGACAATTCTTCACAACAATTGAACAAATTCAAGTTCAGATTTTTATTATTTTTGCATCTTCTTACTAGGACGTGGAATTTTTCTATTTTGAAATATGGAATGGAAATAAGAATCAGAATGCTGTTGAAAGCAATATAATCGAACAAAGAAGAACGAATGAAACATTCAACTTCAATTGTCATCTTCGGAAGTTATCCTTTCCCAAGATCGTGTGCTGATACAGAAGAAAAAAATATCTCCATATACTTTGATATAACAACATCTCACTTTGTCCAAGTATAGGAACTCAGGTACTCTCAAGTAACTTCAAATGAACTTCATCCAATGGCTGTCATTCATTATTGTTCTGAGTTTTACATATATTTTGTGATAAATGAAATAGTCACATCATCACACCTGTTCGCTGATGAAAAAGAAAACATACGTCGTCTCCAGAAACATTCAGTGTGGTATAATAGCATTCCAATTTGCGCACTTTTGCAAGTATTTAGTCGTTAGATCAACAACTCGCCTTTCATTCTATTTACGTCTTAGGATCATTACACAAATCCCACTGGCATGATAAATTGATAGAAACTCGGGCAGATATGTTGACAGGAAGTAGCGATATATTTGTTCAAGGAAGTAGCAGAGTCGAATGCAAATGATAACTGAAAATGATGGTCGTTATAGATGTTAACTGACGACTTAGAGATGCTCCTTTTTCGATGAAATACTGAGATGATGAAATGTAGATAGTTTTTGCAGTGAAGGAAAATTGTGACAACGTGATTTGATAATGGTTTCAAATCGTGAGTGCCAAAGGTGCAACAATTAGGTACCTAAAATTAGTCTCAATATGAGAATCTTGATGGGATAATTTATTTAGAGGAGGCATAAAGCTATCAATAATCTTGCGAATGATTGAGAGAACAGCGTTATCTATAGTTATCAATGAAATATTATATTTATTATTTCATATCATCTGATCGATATCCCCCTATTCATAGGAAATCAACGTTTTTAATTCAATAATGTTATATAAGTATACGAAATTGATCCCCGATATGATTTTGATTGATTTTCTCAAGGATCCACTTACCCGGCTAAGGTACATTTTATTTTTCATCAACAAACCATATGAGTTTGAAACCAAAGACGTATACTGATGAATTTGTCACTTATTTAGTTATATCGATTTTTCTATAAGATCATACCCATCATACACGAAATCAGACCCATCCTAAACATGCATTTCGAACATAGCAAACATGACATATATTTCGAAGCAGAAGACAAAACATAAAATTGCTTGACTCATGCGACATTTCATAAATTTAAGCTAATTATCTCATTTGAGGTAAGTAGGTTGAGCGGTTAGAATTACTGAGGGAAAGACCAACTTAAAATTATATTTCCATACTGAAACCAGAAGGAAATCTTGCGGTTGCTCGTAAAGTATCAAATTATCCAGTTTTATTTCATATTATCTACCTACAATTGCAATTTCCATGGAACTTGAAAATTTCATCACTTTTACTTCGCATATTATAGGTATAACTAGGTATATTGATTTATTTCTCTCCAACTTATTCACCTCAAATGACACCACCCAATACTTTCAGCGGATATTCTAAAAAATCATCGCACAATCAAGTAGATACCTATAAGCATTAATTATTCAGTATGCACTTACCTTATTTAAATAATCTTTATCTTTATTGTCACTAATAAGTGTATCAAATAACAACAACACAACAATAACTAGTTCAACAATATAGGTACCACGATGACGTTCTCTTTCCTACTAGTGTTGTAAAACTGAAATTCTTTTTATTGGTTGCTAAGAGAGCACGTGACTCGAACACTTCTTCATCCTCTTTCAGGTGCGTATCACCGTTCCACAAATAACCTAAAATTATTTAACTCTAATATAGCAGTGATATCCATCTTGTTAGACAGTATCGAACTCCTGTGAGATGTAATACTCGGTTAGGAAACTGATCAGAAGATGGAATTATAACCAAATAGAGTACATATTTTGAGTACTAACGAGTCGACTTTGATTCACTGTGATACTATGGACGCGGTATTTCATGGTCGTATTGATTTAATAAGAAAGGGAATCCATTCTATTTGAACGAGATCGCTCAAGTCTCGCCATCTATCGTTGAGTAGCCACACCGTACGAAAACAAATGAAAGTTTCTCTTACGATATATCCTGCAGTCGAGCATAGTTTCCATAGATGATGTTAGCATATGAAATTTGGTGACATGATAAATGTATATCTCGTCATTGGCGGTAAAGGATTACAAAGTTCGGATTTTGTTTTATCTCTTGGAGCACACGAAAGGAAATCCCTATAACGTTCAGAAGGTGATATTGTTATAAGTTCTTGGGAATACTTTCATTGGCGAATAATTCCAAAGCTTTATTGCCGTTCTATAGACGAACAAGTTTTGGTGAAGCGTTGACCTGCATTCGTCGGAAGTTCTCAGTTTCCTGGGAAGAAATGGAAATTCTATTAGGGAACGCAGTGTGGAGAGTAAACCATCGTCTGCAAAGCTGTGGATAGGGCAAGTGGTTATTAAAATAAACGCAGGTTATAGCGACAATAGAAATCAAACACATGAAGAGTGTCGATGATCTATATTCGATTATCTTCAAAAGACTAACTCACAATTATATCCAGCAGACTCGCTACATTCTAGTTTTAACGCCCTGAATCCTACTGGATTGATGTTCATAGTTCAGTGACTCGAGTTTTGATTTTTGCCTGACTGATATTGTATTCAACAGTGGTTGCTCCCAACAGATCATTAATATAAAGTAGGAACAATATTGGTTCTGAAATTGATCCTTGTGGAACGCCGGAAATGATGGCAATGGTATCAGACGATACTACGTCCAGTCCGCACTTAAAACGATCTGCCTGAAAGAAAACTCGATAAGAGATGGTATAGCTGAAGACTTTGTGTTGCCGTCTAGACTTATACTTATATTATGTTTTCCATACAAGACCATACCAAACTCTTGATTATTTTCCAATCTGTAATAATAATGATAATTCGTTTATTCAATACAAAAAGCTATACATTCAATCATTATTCCAATTTTTTTGGGATTTTCTCTCCTCGTTTCTATAAAACGAAAATATGAATATTATTTCAATATACGTGTAGTAAGGACAAACCAGATGATCTGCCTCAAAATGTCACTGCGTTTGAAGAATGTTCCTATCAGAGAGCCTAAAAGAAAAAATTCACTAGCTTGTATTTGTATTGAAAAAAGTTTGGAGAAGGGGAATAAAGGTATATATAGATATAATTTAATGTTCGTCGTGGCAGATAGCCAGGCAAGTAGTTGTTTTCTGTTGAATATTCAGGATGCTATTATATGCATATCTTTAAATGAAGGAGAATGCAAATTCTCTACTTCAGGAGATTTTGTTTTCAAATTCTTATCTTGTGTGTTCAATAGATGTAATTCAATATTTGTCGTGGCATATAGCTAGGAAAGTAGTTGTTTTCTGTTGAATAAACCGAGAAAGAATTAATATTTTCATCACATGGAGAATGCAAATTCTCAATGTATTTCTTTATATATATATCCATTTTTTTGTGTTCGTAAATATATCTGAGAATATTCCTTTTCAATACTTTCACCCAATCCAGGGGTTCGATCTTGAACGATGAATACTTGTTATTTTTATTGACCTCAATCGCAAATTCGTGATTAGGTTTTCTCAATTGTATGATGAATATCAATTTATCATACATCCAAAAATTGCATTATACTGATTGAAAATAAATTACTTGAGTACTTCAAGTTGTGAATAAAGTAGAGTATACATCATTAACTTGGTCAGTCTGAAGGAAAAAGAACTATATCATCAGAAGCTCCATGATGAATTAATAGTTTGTCATCATCAACAAGGATATTCGAGAGAATATCGAGAGGGGCTATCACAGCCAGCAAATCACTATATGGACTGACAGCCAGGCGGCGATCAAGGCGCTCACCTCGTATAGGGTGACCTCCGCCTTGGTGTCAGAGTGCATAGATAGCCTACAAAGGCTGTCAGCAACGAACAAAGTATGTCTTTTGTGGGTCCCTGGGCACTCAGGGGTACCAGGTAACAAAATGGCCGATGGTCTGGCCAGAAAGGGGGCGAAGGGTTCAGTGATTGGTCCAGAGCCAATCTTAGGGGTCACTCCATATAGGAAACCTGTCACGAAGACAGACCAATGCCCTCTTGGCTTTGAACAGGAAGGATCTGAAACTAGTGGTGGGCCTTCTGACAGGGCACTGCCACGTGAACAAGCATCTCAGCACGATCGGGATTGTGGAGGATCCTGAATGCAGATGGTGCCTAGAGGATTAAGAGACTTCTACTCACATCCTCACTGAATGCCCGGCAGTAGTGGCAGCAAGGGAAATCCATTTTGGGAGCAGTATCCTGGACCCATCAGAGGATGTTAAAAAGATTTGGCCTAGAAAGTTGGTCTCTTTTGCTCGCGAGATCGGCCTTCTCCATGACTGACTTGCGATCCCAGGAATGTGGGTGCACAATGGGCCCGAAAAGGAAGGCCTAAGTGCGTCAGGTCCCGGAACGCCCACACACATACATACATACATACATACATCAACAAGGCATGAAAACCCTTGATTTTTTTACCCGTGCTGCTAATGAATTTTAATCTCTAAGTATAATGAATGTTGCTGGTGTGAATAATTATTTTCATAATTCATTTAACTATGACTTTTCTGACATATTGAGGTTATCAGTAATGTATGCTAAATATAGTAATTTCTGGATTAACTACGATCTCATTATTAATTTAGGATAGAAGGGTTACAAGCATATGATTTCTTATTGAATATTCACATCAGAGGTAACTCATTTATCTGCAGACAAAGAAGCTTTGGACTACCCCCATAAATGAGTACATTTTCAATTGGGCTTATTTATTAATACTTACCTACAAATTACTCAGATAGGTGAACTTACTAAGCCATTTAAAAACCCATAAATTACTCACTATAAGGATTATCTCACTTGTCTAATATCAGTTGGTGTTATTATGAAGAAACCTTTCAGTTTTGTCAATCATTTGCGTTAATTTTCCTAAAATCCTAATTATAATAATCGCGAATTTCTTTCTATTCTAGTAATTATAATAGGTGCTGGTAGTTTTGAACGATTTAAGGCTCTAAGCGGCGGGTTAATATTCCTAAATTTTGAAAATATTATAATATAGAGTGATGTATATATAAGGATGAGAAGAAATTATTCAGTGGATATTCCCTATCGAATCAAGTACAAATTATATCAAATCAAAGCGAAATTCGGAGAAAATGAGAATTAAAATACGATTAAACTGAAGGGGACAAAACTGACTCTTTAGCCCCCGCCTGATGTCAGTATCATATCATATCTTGTATATTGGTTTGGAACTTCAAGTTCGGAACAACCCTTTCACATAGAATACGCGGATAATTCATGAACCAACATCGTTTTTGAACAACAAGTACATCATGTCGGGAACATTCTGAATGCAACATAAATGGAAATATACGAGAAATATAACAAAATCAAATAGAGGGGCATCAGTTGCTGCACAGACTATCCATATACATCTTCGTATCTTTTGTCATTTATATATTCTGCAGTATATAATAAAATGGAATATACCAACATAGCTAATGAATATGCAAAGCTCTTCGATAACATCGCCCAATTCTGTACCCAGCAAATAAACATACAAAAATAAATTAAAGCTGTACCTACAAATGACACTGATTAACTAATTAGTCCATGATACGTATGACTTTATTCTTAATTTTGGCTTATTACATACACAGTGAAAAATATATCCTACACACCAATTACCATCACTAAATCATCTGAAAAAAAGTGATTTTATAGCTTAAGTGCATTGCTGGATTAATTACTTCATCATGGCCAACTGCAAGGGAGCACCACCAGAAAATTCGAAGAGGAATTCTTGGATTGGTTCACTCCCAAAATAAGTTACGAAGATGATCCTGTTACTACTATAGGAGTAAAATACTTATTGCTATAGATTAGCTGATATGGAAGGAAGATAACATGACTCCACACAAAGGATGAGTTTGATTTTTTTGCTGTCATCAAGAAGTTTTATGAAAATGGAAGATTATTACATATGTTGAAGAGAATTAGTTCTAAAATAAACATTTGTTGTATAGATAGAGGATGAGAAATATCTCAATTCGTTGTTATGAGGATTATGATATTGCGCAATCCAAACACCCACAAGATCATATTTTGTTGGAGGTACCTTCTCTATTCTGATTCTAGAATTTTTCAATTGCCATCCTAACGTATATTCTTTGAAGATCATATCCTGTTGGAGGTTCGTTTTCAATTCTGATTCTAGAATGATTCAATTGCCATCATAACGTATTCTTTGAAATCTAGGAGAGAAAACAATTCCACTTGAATAGATCGTAAATGATAGCTCCAATCAGCACCTAACTGGCCACTACAGACTGATCCAACACATGTATGAAATCATGGACGTATAAACTTTTTTATACGTCCATGTATGAAATTGGTTGGCGAAAAATGCTCAATGCCTATTATTTTTATGACAAACTCTAGCTTCAATCAGAAGACCTGGAGGACTAGTTGACAGAAACATGATTTATGGTAAGTCATGCAATAATGGTCGAAGTGCTTGAGAAAATGAATTTTTGATACATAAAATTATTGACCAGAGAATGTGATAGTTATTTTACAAAAGGAAATGAGGTGTATTGCTCCATAAGTAACGATAATACGAATTGCTAATATGATGTTATGATATATAGTATATCACTGAGTCATTCTAACATTAAATAGAAACCTAAGAAACTTTATAAAGATAGTCAAATGTTACGAATTATTTCGCACATTGAGTCCATCGAACTAAGTAAATCAATACAAGATACAGTTTAGTTTTTCAACAATTCATGAATGTCGAGTACAATAGTTTCATAGTAGGTATCAGAAACGATTAAATCATTTTGAAAACTTTGATAACCTTGTTGTGCCGCCACTGAAGTCATATCTGAAGTTGATATTCTCAACCAAATTCGTATATTTCAAAATAAAGGTACTCACATCAACCAACAATCGTCAGTTTTGGATGTTATTTGCTAAATAAAGCTTATTGAAAATAATAACACTGAAAGATGAAAGTAAGTTTCCATTGAACATTATTGTAGTAGGTTATGAAAAATCACTTTTCATGATATTTGAATTGACATACGTGATAACCTGATTTCAAGGAAGAAATAACTGGAATGATATATACAGGGTGTCACTAACTGTCAACGTCTCAGTTTTTCAATAGAACGTTGGTATTTTTATCGACATGAGTATATTATTATGAACTTCAAAAGATTTTTATGTGTCAACAGTTCTTGTATACCTTATATTCTGTTTCTGTAATTTTCCGTATTTTCAGGAAATTAAGTACATCGAATTAGCTGTGTTATTAGTGCTCATACCATCAGCTCACAGCTTTTACGTGATTTTAGCATATTTTTTGACCTTCTTGATGAACCTTACTAGAATCGGACCTGATCTTCTTCCTATGTATCCTTCAACTGCTAGTGGTGAGTTCTGAACTTCGGATTTTCTTTGCAAAAATATATAGACATGACCGATTTCATATACTGAGGAAACGGAAGATTGATATTTTGATATATGCTTTCCACCATATTTTGTGAAATAGATCCAGATTTCTTGTTCAGGGTGAGTATTCATATACATGAGTTTTCAATTTCAGGGTGGTTTTGATTTGGGTTATTATTCGCTTTGTTTCGAAAAGATGCTAATCACCAACATCTGAGAAAGCCAAATCAGAAAAGTAATTTCGTAATTTGGCAACAATGCTGTTTTTAAAGACATTTTAGTCCTCAGCATATGACGAAATTATCTAGCAGTGAATTCGACTCATCAAGACTAGAAAAAATAAAGATCATGAGATATTTTGTGAAGAAGGATCTGTGACTATTTATATAACCACCTAAATATATCATCAATTAGACTGAATGATCACTAGGCCTCATCCCAAAATACCTCAAAAATATCTCAAAAATATCTCAAGAACATCTCAAAAATATCTTCCTTGATGCATCGTATGTGAGAAATAATAGAACCAATTTCTTCTTATTTTTTCAATTCTGCAATAACCAGTTATGAATGGCTTCTGATGGACTGAATGAACTATTTTCCATCGCATTGTAGCAAGTCAAGTTTACATCATTTCTATTCCGGAAGAAGTAGGCTAATAATACCTACTTGAAAAAAATTGAGGAGTTTTATATATACAGTATTATTCAATGTTGAATTTTTGAGCAATTCATTCTGGATATGGAACGATAACTAATATTATATAGTGAATTATGTTTTTAATTTTGAAGGTTCATGCCAATTCGATATAATATAGGATATTGGAAGACCTCACCACAATGTATTCATCTACTTTTCGTTGATAAATATTTCCTGGAGTAATAATAATTAGTATCGAGAGATGCTTTCACCGATTTGAACTTTCAGTTAGGTAGTAATAATATCTGTGTGTTCATTGGAAATAAAAGTTGTTGTGCCTCCAAAAAAGTTACCAACGAGTAGAAGCCACCCAATCTATACCGTCATAGAATAGAGGTCAACAATCCCAAACAGTCTGGTCATGAAAACATATTATTCAGATAGGTAGGAACATGTTTGTAACCTTCTTTTTTTCTATAAAATAAGGCTAGTTTCTTACAATGCCTCTCAGTTCTGTTGTTGTTATGGTATCCTTCTATTTATATCATATTTCCTTGAAATATAAATTATTCATGAAGGTATTTTTGTTCAAACCAAAGATGATTTCATCGGCTGACAAGTCCCTAACTTTTTTCGATACATTTTCCTACGATAATGATTCAAGTAGATTATTCCCCCATAATTTATAATTATTGATAGTGCTTTTACACATTCCCATCTAATACCTAACGACTGAAGCAGATCATTGCTAAGTTAATTCAGTATCTCGAAGCAAACTGACAAAACCACCAACAGGCATTTTTTGTTGTTCTTTTTATCTCTCAGAGCGCACGAGAGGAAATTCCTATGATCCATCCTCTCAATTATAATTCATTTCACGTGGAAAATCTGACGGAGGTTTCAAACCATAGTAATGCACATGATTCTGTAGACAATCATTTGGTATATTAATATCATACTGAGGAAGCTGCACTTGTTCTAAAAATTGTTCTAAAATTGTTCTATCCGTCATTCGGTTGCCCCCTTACGAGCAACCCTCAGAAGTCTTCGAAAGTCTTGTGCGAGCAAGGAATGACGAGGGCCTTACCTTTTAACTCTTTCAGGTACAGGAATTCCGAAATATAACACCCCCTAGATGTACAGCTCTATTTTTCTTCAGATTTTCAAGAGATTCATTAACAAACTAACTCCAAATGTCTCAAAAGATACGAAGAAATATAAAATAATTTCAGAATTTTCCAATTTTTACAAAAAAACGATGGATCAAAATCTAACCCACCATTTCATAAGGTGAAGGATTTCATGAGAATCGACTCATTTCTAATCACTGTGAAACGTCTGCAAACATTTTTTGGTTTTTTGCAAGACAGAGTGGAACACACAACCAGTTTGTTCCACCTTCAAACTATCCTGAATTGCAAAAAGCATTATCTCCTTCGACTTGTTCCGATAGGTTGATGAGCACCCTGTGTGACTCTTATTACCAGGCTTTGACTGAGTGTTTTTCTCTATCTGACTCGTCCATTCGATTGATTTTCTCGATGAAGATACCGATATTTATTGACGACTAAAGGATCAAATATTTAATTGATAACTTTGAAAGATATAGAGTATTCTGTGAAGAATAAATGAGTTGACTACAGCGGCATCCAAGGAAAAGATTTCATGAATATCTGTTCCTTTATATGTCTTTGCAGTCGTCTGATAATTCTGCTTAGTATATAGATTGATCTGGAAAACTATGTGATTCAATAATTTGTCCGTGATGAACTGACGAGAGAGATTATCCATCTTGAGCCACTCCAGAGGAACCTCTGGAGTTTTCAATAGAACTATTGAAATCTTTTGGCTGAACGATCTCATCCACTCCACACCATTTTTTTCTCTATCCCTGGTTTCAACTCCGCGATAGGGGTATCAAATCTTCTAGGTCCCATGTATCCATATATAAGTATTGGTGTCTCGATATTCATATCAGACAGTATAATGTTGTTAAAATTGAATTCGACATCATTTTCCTCATCATTATCCATGAAAAATGTCTTGGTCATGTTGTATGGTGGGACAAATTTCAAACAGCTTAGATTTTCACATTTTGTGAACAAAAAATAAACATATAAGTTGGAAAAATATAACAAGTAGGTTACCTATGTTGCCTAGATAGTATTTAATGCAACAGAAAATGTAATAACATGATAAGCATGAAATTTACAGCCGAAATTCGAGAGGAGAAACGAGGAAACACTAATAATGTATTGCTTTATTCGCTTCAGCTTAGAACATATGATTCAAAAGACCAATACGAGTGAGTAATATGGGGCGGGAGAGATATAAACCGTCGTACCACAAATCATAAGCCCATTGCAGAGCGGGATATATTTTGTCCCAGCATACCTCTAACTCCAAGAAATTCGTGGTTCAAATTCTGCACCAAAGTACTTGAAAGAGTTAACGTGTGATCCCAAACACTTTCTTGGGCCATCAGAAAGATGTCTGCTGTCGATGGGAATCGAACCCACGACCGGCAAGCGAATGCGAATTAGAATATAGACACTCTGTCCGCACGGCTACCTGGCCCTCACCTGACCCTTCTTCGATGAAAACTTCTTCACATTGAACTGTCAAAATCAATTATAGATTCACCTGCTTGTATTATGAAATCTTGATCATTTTGAATTCTTCGAGAGAATTGATAGTACAGGGTGATCAGTTAAGGGTAGCGAACGGCCATATCACATAAGATATTGGTCGTATAGATTTGAGAAGAAACAAATCATGATAGAAGTCGCCAAGAGAAATTGCTGGAAATTATTTTCGAGTTTGTCAAACGTCCGCTAGAGGGCATCAACAACCAACACCAAGTAGAAAAATGGGATTTTTATAGAATTTCGTTTCATGAAGAGCCACAATTGCAACAGACATTTCGAAGATATAGTTCTAAATTTAGCTTTTATTGCAAAGAAATTAACTTTTAATCCGTAGGAATTTGAAGTTACTTTGAATCCCTAGGGATTTAAAGTACTACTTTACTCCCCGGAAATCCTTGAAGTGCATTAGCGTATATAACATCTTGAATTAATACTACGAAATATTTTGACAGTTCTTGACAGAACGAGAATATGATCATACCATGATCTGACATTGAATAAGGTTGCTATTGTCGTAGTGTTGGAATATCGAATTACTCTTTTCGCATATATGATTGCACGAAAACTTGATTAAGACGAAATCAGAATTGTTTCTAGAATTAACAGTACCTTTTCGTTCGTGCTTCATTCTAGATTCACGTATAAAAAGAGGTGGTTCTAGAATGAATTTTTTCTTCGAATAATAAAAACCCCTGAATGAACAAAAACTGATGAACATTTCATTTTATAATTACTTGATTATCAGTTTCGTTCTACAAAAAAGGGTATGCGAATATATTCCTATAAGTACCTGAAAAACTTATCTAACAACAATATATACTGATAATTGAGTGCAATTGCCTGGAAATGAACCATCTCAACAAGCATCGTTAACAAAGTTGAAATACTCAATATCGCAATAAATATAAGGATAATTATTATTTAGCAGCTTTTTATATCTACTTATTTGAGTGGTAGAAATAATTGTTATGACAGAGAACTTTAGAAACTTGTATTTTCCTAGGATCACATGGGAACAGATATATATATATAAATTTTGGTTCTTCAATAAAATGCTATTTATGTTATATACCGAGAGAAAAGATCAAAGGTGTTCACGACGAAATATCTTGGTGAGGTAACAAAGGTATTGTCACTATGACATATTTTGTATTCGCTTTTGGGTGTATGATAAATTGACATTCATCATACAGGGCGTGGAAAGAAATTCTGAATCAACTGAGAAAGAGTAAATATTGTCATCACATAGAGAATGCGAATTCTCAATGTATTGCTTTATATAAATATATATCCATTTTTGTATGTTCTTAATTCATCTGAAAATATTCCTTTTCAATATTTTGTATTCATTTGAACAAATAATCCGTTTACATGTGATTATATCCTTCTTTCATGGTTACGAAATAGATATATGACCAAATATTTCGTTATTTCGATAATTTTTTTCTCTTGCCGTGTATCACCCAGTTAACACAAACTAGTTGATAAAACGTTGAATAATGGTTGAAATCGTGGAAATAACGTTAATGGTTGGAAATTTCAACGTTGAAAGTATTTTGAAGAAAACCGGGAAATTGACACGTTATTTAGACGTTTCATTTCCAGAAATTCATAACCATGTGGTGATCTACAACCACTATTGAACGTTGAAACAAAACGTTGATATTTTCAGGCAATAACACGTTATTTTATCTCAACGAAACGACACATTCACAACGTATGGTGACATATTTGGAAAAAACTACATGTATATAACTTTAGAAAAACAATAGAAGCAACATATTCTTATTCATTTCAACGTTTGAATACTTGATACGCCGTTTAATCGTGTACTGATAATGTTGAAAATATGTAAAAAATAGCTCGTTTTGGAACGTTTTGGTGTTTCTTTCGAATAAATATTTCATAACCCCTCTAAATTATCACATCCGTGTGATTTTTCACTATGAAGGAGTACTACCGAATGTCTAATAATATTGATATAATATTGCTAATCAAGTGTTGATTCAATCGGAATTATTTGTGAAATCCACTCTATTGAAATTACATCCGGAAATGTTTCAGTGTGCATACTCTCTCAAAAATTTTTCACTGTGTATGGGTCGTTGGTTCTAGTGCTGAAACGAACGAGAAAATGCGATCAAAAAACACACAAAAAAAATTGAAAACAGTCCTGATGACGTATTTCTTGATCATACCAAAACCTGACCAAATCCTTCTAGAACCATCACGAAGAACTTTACTTAGGGAGTAATTTTCCAATTCCGGCTCTTGAATTTGTTTCTTCATAGTAGACCAAAAGTAGTAATAGACCATCTTGAGAAACCTCAGTAGGCAAACGTCCCTGATGAATTGTAATATATAATTTCTGAAACCCTTCATCTATGGTGAAACCTTAGCCGTGGCACTTGATAACTCCAAGGCATTCGATCGAGTCTGGCACCACTGACTCCTCGCCAAGCTTCCATCTTATGGCTTGCCGCCCCAGCTTTGTTTTCTGCTAACTAGTTTTCTCTCGAACAGGTCTCTCCATGTAGTGGTCGACGGAGTTTCATCTCACTCTCTCATCATAAATGCTGGTGTTTCGCAAGGATCAATTCTAGCACCAACACTATTCTACTCCATTCCAACGATTTGTCGGAAGTAACTTCATGTCCAGTACACAGGATCGCGGATGATAGGACCCACCATACCACCTTCTCTTCCAGGGCTCCAATACCAGCCAGGCAAATCAGAAACGAACGAAGGAGAAATGTTGACAACATAAATATGGACTTGGCAACAATTCTCGAATGGTGATCCAATAACTTGGTAGAATTCAATGCAAACAAAACACAAGCATGCCTTTTCTCTAGAAAAGCCGATCTCACTGTGCCCAACATAAGCTTTTCAGGAGTAACCATACCTTTGAACCTTTGAACCTTTCTTGGGAAAATCACGTGGGATCAATTGCTGAAAGTGCATCAAAAAACTTGGTTTTCTGTTTCGGGCCAGGACCTATTTCACTTCTAGTCAGCTGCTTATGATCTTTAAGGCACAGATCTGACCTGTCCTGGAATACTGTTCCCATATTTGGAGTGCAGCACCCAAACATACACTGAAACTGTTGGATTCTGTCAAAAAAAGGGCAATTCGTTTCGTGGGTGATGCCTTGCTCACAAACTCACTCATTTCTCTGGAACACCGTAGAAAAGTTGGCGATCTGGCTCTATTTTATAGATATTTTCATGGACGATGCTCTTCTGAAATATCAACAATTGTTCCTTCCTTGGCAGTCCCCACGAGATTAATCCGTCGAGTTGAGGCTTCGCACCCCTTCGTGGTCACTTTGGAGATCTGCAGAACATCTCTTTCCACTCGTTCATCCCACGAACATCGAGGCTCTCGAACACATTGCCAAAGGAGGTGTTCCACGAGGCATATAACCTCCAGAAATTCAAGAAGAACACCAATTCCTACCTTATTTCCCTTGGTTCTCACGATGTTCTCTGAACATTACAGTATATCCCTTTTCGTGAGAACCAGAACATAAGAAAAAAAGAAAAAAAATCTCCATAATGTATGGCAAAAACACTACCCACATAATCCTTTCGAGACCATCTGAAGTAGCACACATATATTGGGGCAATATCGGTGCAATATCACGAAGATATTGTGAACGGAATATTGGCAAGAAACAAAATGTGAACATTCGGCAATATAAGTGCAATATTACTTTCAAAATATGGTTGGAATATTGAAAATAAGCATATTGCAATGTTGTCTTGAAAACATTGGTGGAATATTCTCAGACCAAAATTGGTTGAATATTCGTATTGGTCATAAAATGTGAAATCAATATTGGCTAGACATGATTGTATGATGCAATATTAGCTGAAAACATTGGTGGATTAATGAAAAGGATCATGTTGCTATCTGGTCTCATCTTTTGAAAATATTATATTGTTGAAATATTTTCATACTAATATTGGCGAGATGTGAAATGGAACATTTGGTGATATTGGCCTCGTCACTCCTACGCGTTAGTATGCTTTTCAATCGTCTGGAGCCAATATTTATATTCTCTAGCCTGACTGGCATGGGGAGAACGTTACCAATCATGTTACCGATATGCAATTGAACTTGGAAATAAAATATTATGTTTCTACGGCTTTAACATAAAATTGCTCTTGTTTTACTGTGTTCGATACGCAAATGAGGTACTTTATATGTCATCAATATTATTTTCGTATCTAATATCACCATGACTCCATTGTGTTATTATTTCAAAAAAATTTCATCGCTCATAGAATGTCAAGTGTGGAGCAATGACAGCTCTGTCAAATAGATGAGCATTACTTGACAGGAAATCAGATGGCTACAAGACGAATAAATCGAAAATGCCGCTGTTATCTATTATAGTAGAAAAATTATAGTGTATAACTTGCACGGAATGATAATTTCCTACTCGAATGATTGCAGCAAACTTCATTCTCGTAGGAAATCACTATCATTCCGTGCCCGTTAAACAATATACTATTTTCTCTTCTTTTACTGATATAAAGAAAAATATTGATTGGCCGATATAGATATTCGTCTTTGAAACTATAGGCATTCCATATCTTCCGCATGATATAGTTAAAACGATATCAATCAATGAAGGTAGGTATAATGTTTCAAATATTATAGAAACAATATTCAACCAATCTGTCGTCTTACTCGAATATACAATATTGCATATAACCGCTTCAGAATCGACATGGGGAGAATTTTAAAATTGCAATATTGGTTATAATTGTTAGGAACATGTATACGATGCTGTCATACCGACATTTGTGAAACAATATTCGGGTCGATTCTGTTTGCAAATAGCAATATGGTTGTAGAGAAGATATTGCTATCATAGCAAGATTCGAAAAAGTGGAATTCTAATCATCGATTTTTGGCAATATGATCTGTCAATTTCAATGACATCTGGTCAGCTTTCTTGCTATCTCGGAAACATCAATTTCGTGCTTGCTATCTTATAACAAGGTAGTGGATTCTTCGTTTTTGCACTACAAATTCTTCCAACTGTATGAAAATTCAGAAAATAGTGGATTAAAAACATATGAGAGTTCAGTTGTCTACTCGAAAACCTTTCCTCAAAGTTTCAATTATTGAAAAACTTAGAATAGTGATTACAAACATATAGGATAGGTTCACTACTACTACTACTACACTACTACTTGAAAACCTTTTCTTGAAGTTCCAATTTGTAGAGGAAATATGTGACTACAATTTCTGCATATCAGAGAAATTTCAGTTGCCTGAGGGATAGTTCATCAAGCTATTTTGCTAGAATATTTTTTTAAAAATCACGATATGTTTCATCCGGCTTTTAGTTGTTTTCTTATTTCGGGGACATGATTGATTACTTGCACCCGCCGCACAACGACGACCAGATTCAGCAAATACAAAATCTCTCGATTTGAACAATATAATTTTGTGAAATGTCAGTGCAGGACTGACTAATTTGATAAGTTATATAATCATGAACTCTTCTTCCTCATGATATAATGGCAAAATCGATACCTGACACTTAAACAATGAGTTGAAAACAGTGTTGTCAGCTCAAAAATTCTCAATTTTTCAACAATATTGTTATCATTTGAACTCACAACCAGTCTTGCAGTTACTCTGCAATCAGAATACAAAACTTCATAGCAAGATTGTTATGTGTTATGATCATAACAATATTATTATCTTAGCAATGTTATAACAAGATCCGAACAGAATCGACCCGATTATATAATATTTATACATATGTTTCTCCTCATATTGTAAACGAACTTTCTGACCATTATTGCTTCAATATTGCAGCTGACAATCAACATTTAGCTCAGGTTGAACCAATATTTCACCAATATTATCATTCCAATATTGTATTTTCAATATACTCTCATATTGGACCGATATCATTCTTACATTTGTCTGCCAATTTGATGTGCTACCTGGAATCTATCCACTATTTGTGCAACATTCCTCATGAATAACTTAACGTGTTTATCCAATTTATAGGCCAGAATGCGACATACGACTTCATAGTAGTAGGCTCTGGACCAACTGGATCGGTGATAGCAAACAGACTGACAGAAGATGGTCGCTGGTCAGTTTTACTTCTGGAATCTGGGGATGAAGCTGGCGTGATAACTAACCCTCCAGTTTTTGCTGGAGCCATCGAGTTCACCAAATACAATTGGGAATATAGATCAGAACCACAAGAAGGATTTTGTAGAGGTACTACCGCAGCAGTCGTTGATAGTGAAGATATATGAATTAGGGAATATTCCCCCAAAAAACTTACGCACCACCAAAAAGTATCCAATACATTGAGATACACATTTTCGTCAAAACTATACTTGTTTGATTTCCACGTTTTTGTTTTGAATAACATGCGTTATCTCCTCCTGAAAATGGGCGTGTATACTGTATTCGCATGAAAACCTTCTTTTTTTTCATGAATACCGGGTGTAGCAATTATAGCGTGTTTTCTACATGAAATTCGGAATACCCTGTTTAGTGAAACAGTTACATATTATCTCGTTAGAATTGAAATTACACTACAGCCTTATCTTCTTCAAAGATTCCTTTGGATTTACTCCATTATACCTCTCCTATTACTCCAGGAACATAATTTTATAGCATAACATGATTTTATCGAATTCAAGCTTTCCATAAGCACTACCCTTGAGTACTCAATGGCACTACTCACATCACACAACACCCCCCACTGATAGCGTCTTAACGACTTCCCCGCACCCATTGGGTAATCTCAGTGAAATTACCTTTATGAAGGCCTTAGCCCTAGGAGATAGGCTTCTGCGACGAACACTTCGCATATGCACCCACATTCCTTGGCCAACACCAGCCACCTCTATCTTGCTCGGAGGATTTCATCTATACAGTTTTCAAGTTGTACATATATCATACAATGTGGATGTACAGTCGTCTTCAGAGATCATGTCGCACATGGACGGTGTCAGCTCCTTTGATCACCGCTGCAATAAGAGCGCTCATACCGTCCAACCGCGACATGTTCGATGAAGACGACTGTACCTATGTATTGTAGACAAAAATGTGGAAGATTATAAGCAACTTTAATACTTCCTTCGAGCGAAATGACCGGGGTTCGATCCCTACTCCAGCTAATCTTTTATTTAATTTTTTTTCGAATTCATTGTTCGAAATAATACGATGGAGGTATTCATTGGTTAGGCCGATAGTGATTCGTTATTTCAATTAATTATGTTTCTTCTCAGCAGCGCTATGGTGCTATGGCTAGACTCTAGTTGTGTTGTGGAGGAAATTGCTCCGAGGAAGGAGTACTACTCTGATGGCAAAACAAACTAAAAAACAATTTTATACGCTCTTGACTTGCCACCGTGGCAATATTTCCCATATAGTGGTGCTATGGCTAGGCTCTAATCGAGAGTAGCAGGCATGGTCTGGAGAGACATTTCTTTGACTGATCGCAGGGAACTTGTGATCATGAATGGAATCCTTACAGCAGGAAGGTACACATATTGCAGATTTCAGAACCATATAAATAGTGGAAGGATTTTTGTTGTTGCAAGATAATGCCAGGCCCCACGTCGCCCAAGTTGCGAGTAATTATCTAGAGGAAATCTGAATCGCTTCCATGTCATGGCCATCTAGGAGCCTAGATTTGAATCCCATTCAGTATCTCTGGGACATTATTGGAAGACGAACGTAACTTCAATACTTTGGAACACGTTCGGCAGAGACCAATTCAAATTTGGGAAGACTTCTACCAAATTGAGATGAGGTCTCTAATTTTGAGTGAGGGCCGTCTTTGCCAAGAAATTATTCATGCCCGAAGAGAAAACACTCGCTACTGACCCTCTCGTTCAACTTGCAACTTCGCATTCTGATTCGTTTCATTGTTGTTAAATTTGAATATTAATTTTCCATCAAATCATGTTCTGCTATAATAAAGGAAGTAATATAGGGAAGAGCAGTGGTTGAGGAACTCAATTAGTAATCAGAGCACCGAAAGGTTGCTAGGTTCGAATCCCTATCAGAGCATAGAATTTTCATTTATAGAACGTGTTATACATCCTAATTTCCTAAGCCTCAGCCGTAGGGAATCATCAGGATTCGCTGTTGGGTTCCAATTAACAGTGCTGCTCCTGAGGTGGTGATGGAGTTAGTGACAAAGTTTACACAAAACACACATAGGGTTAATGGACCCCTCATTTGGTCGATGGCCAGTTGGTATGTTCATTCATACCAACGAAGAATATAGACTACTACTACTACTAATATAGGTAAGATAATGGAGTGAACCCTTAAAAGGAACGATAGAGAAATATAAGGCTGGAGTGTCATTTCAATTCTAGCTTGATAGTGTAACTATAATATTCTACAGGGTATTACAAATAACATGGAAAAAACACGCTCTGAATTCTACATCCGGTACGCATTGGACAAGTACAGCTTCACCATTCTAGCTTGGCCTCTGAGAATTGGATGCGCAGTAGACCAGTCGGCGGAGAGGGGCGACAGCTCATTATTATGGAGGAACTGGTTCAGTGACCATCGGTCAGAATAGTACAGTACGATTGTACTTCCCAATAAAAAGGCGTAGTGGATCTTTGTCGCACACTAATCATTTCTGTTTATCGACTACGCATCTCAGAGGTAGAGCTAGAATGGTCAAGCTGTAGTTCTGACGAAAAATTGTTAGCCTATTTTTGGTGGTGCGTTAAATTCTTAGGGAAATGTTCTTTGGTTGCCCACAATTCATCAATACCTTTCCAACTGATTATCGCTTATTGATCTTGAATCCGTTTGAATGCTTTTTCTAAGGAATCGAAAATCCTGATATATACAAAACGTTGAACGACTTATACTTGTAATATCCCAAAAAATCTGTTAGTTCGAAATGTTGGAACTGGCCAGTTCGATACTATTTATAAACATAAACAGTCGATTATGTTTCCAAAAACTATAAGAATTCCAATTTTTATAGGTTGCATTGATGGTAGAATGCAATATCCACATGGTAATGTGATGGGTGGCAGCTCTACGATAAACTACATGATGTACACAAGAGGAAATAAATTGGACTATGACAGATGGGCTGCCATGGGCAATCCAGGATGGAGTTACGATGAGGTTAGAATCAGGGACCATCGAAAGGAAATTATTAGACAAAATAGTAATATCTATCAGAAACAGAGACGAAATAAGTCTTGCTAATCGACTGATTGGTTAGTCAATGCACGATTGAATATTGTTAGAAGCGGGTAGAATGTGTTGAAAATGTTTGGTTAAAATGGCGAGGGAGATACTACAGCAACATCTCATCGAACAATGTTCGAATTTATCTCTAATTTTATTCATGCATAACTCAACACCTTCAGTTATCCTTTATTCTTTGAGAGTGAAAGTAAATTTCTGATTTATTCATTTCGATAGTCTCCTTCTGGCAAGTATGCTACAATCTTCGAGGTGGAAGTCTTAGCAATCAAATTATGTCTAAAAAAGTTTACTAATATAGATCTACTAAACAGAACCATCAATATTGTATTAGACAGTTCGACTGCTCTGAGCACTGATCTCCAGCAAAATGAATTCCAAGCTTTGTAGAACTGTATTGATTCCCTAAAGTGCCTAGGTAATAACAGAGCAGATACAGGGTGATCAGAATTCTGAATCAAAGGTCAGTAGATAGTTAATCAGAAGTAATGATAGAGACATGAAAGCCGATTTGACCGATAATGAATAGTTTCGACATACGAATTCCTAGAGTCCTATATCTATGTATAATCATTCTCGCTAGACCCCAAGGGTAATTGATGAAATTAGCTTTCCAGGAAAAATAAAAAAATGCAATGAAATAAAGGGTGTTCCATTTGGAATATCAAAATTACTAATACTTTCTAGTATAAGCAGCAACGCTGCATTGATGGAAATATTTTGAGTCGATAGACCAAGAACAACTACTTGAGTAACAGAATTAGATCAAGATAATCCTATGCCCCGTTCTCCGTACGTCAAAGGTGCCATCGTCCTTGTTTCACCCTGTATAACCCGGCAGGAATAACCTTCTACCTTATTGTATTTCTCAAATCCTTTTATCAATCAAGTTTTGTAGCTCTCACAGTACTACACTTTTTCCAATTTCAGTTCAAAAATTCAGTTGGATTTCAAGAAGCATCAATTGTATTTCAAATTAGTAATTTTAATTACGAAAAGTATCAAATGTATTTCAAATGGATCAAATTTATTTCTGATACTGACACTTTGTAATCCAAAATATTCAATTTATTTCCAAAACTATCAAATGTATTTTGTAATGCATTATTTGAATTGCAGAACTGAAAAAGTACAGACAATGGTTAGATGGGTGATGGGTGTTGGGTGAGATTTTCATTAACGCTGTTATTGAAACGCTTCTGGTTCCTATCGGCTGTCATTGTGTCATCATCAATAAAAATTAGTTTTGAAATTAAAATAATGGATTTTGAAATTGAAATGACTATTTTGAAATACAATTGACGCATTTTGAATTTGGATTGATAATTTTGAAATACATTCGATCCTTCTTGAAATCAAAATGACCAATTCGGAATACAATTGACGCATTTTGAAAATAAAAATTGAAATAACTGATTCGAAATACAATTGATACTTTTTAAAATCAACTTGACGTTTTGTGAACTAAAATTGGAACATGTTTAGACCAATCAAACTCTGTCGCACAATGATCATTTTCCACAGATACTTCCTTACTTCTTGAAGTCGGAGGACGCTCACATAGCTATCAGAGATGACCGTTATCATCAGGAAGGAGGATATTTGGGTGTCAGTGATGTACCTTATCGATCAAAAGTGTCAGGAGTTTACATAGAAGCTGCTGAGGAGGCTGGGCATCCATATGTAGATTATAATGGGGCAAGGCAACTGGGAGTAAGTAATTCAATATAAATTGAATTAAATTTCTATCGATCTTCCATGAGCCAATTACATCAATTGAATCAAGCAATTAAATTAAGCAATGATATTTATGGAAAGAAAGTCTGATTATAGTTATCGAACCATCTAGTGTAGTGATGAGGGCAGTTAATGATCGAGATCATTGATCGCCTTATAAAGGTACGAGTTGGTTACAAAGTTTTTCTGTCTACTATACAGGGTGATTCACATAACAACCGACATAGGGCAGGGGCATGTAGGGGGTCCCAAAATATGGCAATTTAACACAACTTACCTCTTTACCAAGTTGCTTCCCTATGGAGTTATAGGCATAGCACTAACAGCATGTCAACTTGCTCATTAAAAGAAAACTTCCCGTTCATTTCAAAAACACTCAAACAACAATTACTCAATTGAACAACTCACTTGCCTCATTGTCAAGTTTGACGTTTATTTTCACACCCAACTTTTGAATTTTCGAAGATTTTAAATAACACACCTGAAGCGCGCGTTTTCAGTTATTCGAGTTTTTGATGAAAATGAATTACTAGAGTAAGAAAAGTTTAAGAATTGAATTGCCCACAAAACAAAGCAAAGATTTTTGAAATCCATCAAGTGTTAACAAAATTATGTTGAATATTAATGGTGCGCCACCTGCGTATACCCCCTTTACAAATTTCAATTGAACTCTAGTTACTGTCATAAGTAGCGCCCTAAATACATCCACAAAGTGTACCAAATTTGGTTGCTTCAAGTTCAAGAATAACGGAGATATTGATTTTTTTCAAAATTTATAACTTCAACGCCTATATCTCCTTAGGAGAGCAACTTGGTATAGAGGTAAGTTGCGTTAAATTGCCATATTTTGGGACCCCCTACATGCCCCTGCCCTATGTCGGTTCTTATGTGAATCACCTTGTATTTCTCCTGCAATGAAGAAAATTTGGTTAGTGAATTCATTATTTATCCGGACACTACTAACAATCACTCAGTAGTCATGAAATCCAAACTCGTTACTGACGATATGTTGTAAATCATACGAGTAGGAAATTAGCATTTTCATTTCAGAGCCTATTTCAAATGATTTTTCATGGCCGCCATTTGGCTATACGTCGAATAAATGGTGACGTCAGCTTTTGTGCTATTTCGTGTTTATCAGATAGTCTTTCATTTCCACTCATGAAGCAAGGTTATCAAGTCTCCAATTATAATCAAGTTATCAAAAAATGTCGTTGAATAAAACACAATAGAAGGAACCCATGATATTATAGTTAATACTTGACTTTTTCGAGCAACCAGCATGTCCAAATATCTCTCATACTCAATAACAAAATATTATGTAAATGATGGAGACTTGGCAGCATTGTGCTGAATGCTGAGAACTGACAAGACCACGCCCACAAGTGGTTCGCCGTGTTGTCACGTACACTGATTCAAATATCCTCTAGTGGAAATTGATATAATTATTATTCACACAAATTTATTATAAGCATTGAGCCATAAATCATGAGGAAACATTTCGAGACAATTGAATTTTTATTGCTCATTAGAAATATTACTAATAGTCAATTTAGAATTTATGAAATACTGTCTGTAGGTTAATCGAGGAGGTGGTAGATTCATTATCCCAGATTTTTTTAGATTTTCTCTCCTCGTTTCTATAAAATGAAAATATCAATATTATTTCAATATATGTGTAGTAAGGACAAATCAGAAGATTTACCCCAAAATGTCACTGCGTTTGGAGAATTTTCCTATCAGAGAGCCTAAAAGAAAAAATTACTAGGTTGTCAGTTTTTACTGGTATAGCCGTTTGAAAATTACCGTGTCATTATTGATGATTAAGCACCTTAAAATTGACCGAAAAATTCTTAAATAATATGAACTTGAAAGCTATTTAAGTGATGATTCTATTTAAGAAATAAAAAAAAACTAGTCCACTCTCCTATTCGCATTGCGGTATAACAGGGAGGAAGGACAGCTGAAAATCATCTCTACCCAATATGATGCGCTCTCAGGTCACGGAACTCTTCATTTATTGAGGATCCGTGACCATGGGCATCGGTAGTCATATATATACCACAACTAGTTAACATTATAAAACTTATTCAACTCCGTAAGGGTTAACCAAATACTTAAGTTTGTCACCAATCCTTTTTGTAATGAAGAAATTCTTATTACGTTGAAGATGGTCTTTTCTGAGATCAAAACATGTCCCTGAGTATTTAACAACGTCATTAAATGTGTAGAGATGATTTTGAGCTCTCCTTCCTTCCTTTCATGAAACCCACTTCAATTTGAGCAATATGGACGTCTACCAAAGATGAACAACTATTCAACTGGCTACATGGCCTGACGATTCTTTCATAATATATCAGGTTCATCAAATAAGTTATTTAATCTTTTCGCTCCGAAATCTGTTCTGAATAGGTATTATTCATTACAGACTGTTTTATTACATTTATGATTATACAATGGTCTGAAATGATCATTCATTTCTTCATCAATTTTTTCGAATTTCCTTGTCCTTGATAAAGATATGGGACAATATGTTTCCGTTGGGTTACATTTGTCCCATTAGTAATTTATCGTGTCTGAATTTTGTTGTTGCTCATACTCAACATCACTAGGCACATAGTCCGATCCTGAGAAAGAGAATGGTTGGTCTTCGAAAGAACTGACATGTTCCAGAGCTTCTTCTAACTCGTTATGACTCAGCCCACATCTTGTTATGATAACGAATCTGCGAACCCATAAAATATTGTTGACACAACTTCAACCCAGTTGAAAATACTAATGGGACAGCGCTGTCCCGAGCTACGAATTCCTTGGAGAGGATAAAAAGCTAATAGTATTTTAACCTCGATTTTAACTCATATTAGCAAATAGGACACTTGTAAATGCTTTCAGCAACAGTTTCGGGTAATACTGGTCGAAATGATCACTAAATACTTCGAAACACTAAGAAAATCGAGACGTCGCCATGGGTTGCGTGCAAGAACTGTCAGATGACCGACGCTGGAGGCAAAACATTGAAACACAACGTCACTTTTCTTATGTGTTTACACGAATTACAAGTGATCGAAATAGTTTTCCACAATTATTTTGGCATATGAATCGTATTTTTCCGCTATTCATCAATTCGCTCATGCCATCACATTGTGCTGTTGTAAAATGCACAAAAACTGCAGCGGAAGATGGAGGAATCCGGATGGTACATTATGATTTAAAAGTAAGTAGAAAGTACCTACTATAGTCACTCACATATAGTTTTCATTTTTGAAATTTGGTTATTTCTCTGATTTCTCATCGGAATTCCTTCTGCAATAGGAGCTGATAGAAATATACCTGAAATTTCTAGAATAATGCAAGAAGATTGGATTCATGCAATCAATCGGGAGGACTGGTCTGACATGCTGACGATCGTGTGTGTTGTAGACATTTTCAATCTATTAGCAGTATTAGCTTGTATTGCAGAAGTGGCAGAAGGCAGAAGGAATTTTAATGAGGAATGACAACATTTCATAATGATAACTATGTGAGATTACTATTTACCTGAAAAATCATATTCCCTAGTCTCTTGCTGCATTTTTTGTGCATTGTACAACAGCACAATGCGAAAGCATGCTTGAATTAATGAATAACGCAAGAAACACGATTCGAATGCCAAAATATTGTGAAAAACTATTTCAACCTTTTGATTCCTCTGTAAACAAATAAAAAAGTGAGGTTGTGTTTCAATAATTCACAGAAGAGTGAGGTTGTGTTTCAATATTTTGCCTCCAGGGTCGGTCATCGTGCACGCGACCTATTGAAAAGTAGCAACAGGATGAATATTTTGAGGTTAGGTGGATGTATTATTGGCTAAATATAATACAGAAGAATACGTGTATACTAATAAAGCATGAATTCTGGGACATATATGAACCAATTGGATTTTTTAAAACTCAATGGGACGTATACGTCTCCGCAGTATCGAAAGGGTTAAATCTGTTGATAATGACATCCTGTAATTGTACCTTAGTAATCATATAGATATGTCGAAGAAATACACTCGATGAGTTGGTTTCGAATTATCAATGTTTCAGGTTTCTTATATTCAAACAACTACGAAAGATGGTCGAAGAAGTTTCGCAGAAAAAGCTTTCATCCGACCAGTCAGGCAGCGCAGTAATTTGAGGGTACAAACAAAGTGCAGGGTTTCCAAAATATTGATCGATCAAGCAACTGCAACTGCACGTGGAGTTGAGTACATTTCGAGAGGAAGAACTCATGAAGCATTCGCGAATAAAGAGGTCATCTTGTCTGCAGGCGTCCTCAACTCTCCGCAAGTACTGATGCTGTCGGGTATAGGACCAAAAGACCATTTGGATAGTCTAGGTGAATATGAGTTCAATGAATTGGAGGATGGAATATTCATAAGTATTAACCAGTTCTTCCGACAAAAAAGTTATTCGCAAGTTTGCATGTTAGCTCTTCAGGTACCCAGATAACACAATGATGTCCAATGAACATCAGAACATCCAATCGACCTCCATGTCTGGACACCATGGACATATTATTATCCATTGGCTATGCACCACATTTCAATGTGTATCCATTGGATGACAAATGTCTGAATTATTGGATATCTACTAGATGTCCGATGGATTCAGTCATCCAATAGATTGCGTATGTTGATGTTGAAATAAAATGAAACTAATTTTTTTACATAAAGTTATAATTTGAACTATATCTCAGTTCAATCTAAGTGTAGAAACATAAACACAATAATGCACACAATGAACAATGATATGCACACTACAACAACAAACACACAACACACAATGAACCGTAAACCGTAATGACGTCTTTGGTGTCAGAGACAACACAATACAGTACACACTTAGTTCCTTTCCTTTTCGTGCAGCTTCTCTCTTGGCTGTATGACGCCGATGACGTAGAATGTGCAAACCGCACGTAGTTTCAAAAATTATTATCTGAACACACTGACAATTTCAGAAGTTTTAACAACTGTTAACCTATATAATTAATCATATCATATTATCATAGAACATTATCGAGGTAGATTTGTAGATTGTAGATGGGTCGTATAGGCTGGGAGACATCTCGATCACTGCGACCTAGAAGATCTATTGTGATTATTGTTATAGCACACACATTTGGAACTCAACAAGGTTTTTATTTATTCAGCCTGTTGGCTCTACTCTTGACAAGTATCTGACTAGTTGCGTCATCCTCTCTTATACAGTGCGACGTAACTCTAAACTATCAAATAACTAATTAATAACATAGTAACTATTTCTATAACATCTCTTTTTTGTTAAATGAATGTTATTTTGAAGACATTTGAAAATCAGCATATTTCGCCGGCACTTTGATTTCTCTTTTCGGTCTTCTATTGTGTTGTCGACAACTCCTTCGCTTTGCATTTATCAATGGCTTGTTCTAAAGTAATATTTCTGTCAAGCCAAAGAACTTCTCGTAGTTTAATATCTTTTATGGAACATATTATTTTATCCAATAATAAATCGTCCTCCAGCTGACCATATTGACAATTTTTAATCAAGCTTCGTAACCTATTGAAGTAATCCGAATAGTTTTCATGCTCTTCTTGATGTGTTAAATTGAATACTGATCTTTCATAACGCTTATTCACTTCCGGGCTCAAATTTCTCCCTATGGCTTTCAACAAACTGTTACATTCTTGCTTTTCCGCATCGGTGATTGAAAAGTTTGGATATCTTTTGAATATTTCCTCTCCTATTGCTGTCAATAAAACTGCTATCTTTTCTTCTTCAGGTTTCTTCCCTAGACCGCTAGCAATGAGGTAATTTTCCCACGATCTTTGAAAAAACTTGAAATTTTCTGTCACGTCACCAACGCTTATTGATATTGGCTTCGGCAATGGTATATTCAAATTGGTGCTTTCTACCCGTAGATGCCCTAGTTCATAACTTTTGAGTTTTTCTTCTAACTGCTTCAACTTCTCCTCCATGCTTGTTGCTGCTTCTTATGCTTCTGCTGCTTCTTATGCTTTTGCTGCTTCTTATTCTTTTGCTTTATTGACTATTATTTCATCTCTTCCACACCTGACACCATGTTATAGCACACACATTTGGAACTCAACAAGGTTTTTATTTATTCTGCCTGTTGTCCCTCTCTTGACAAGTGTCTGACTGCTTGCGTCATCCTATCTTATCAGTGACGGCTCGTGCCCTCAGAACCTGGGTCGGCCAGGGTATAGATATTGCTCTAAAATGCGAACGTAAGTGGGTCAGTGGCTTGAGTGAAGTTCGATGGCAAATAAGCATGTACAGGGTGATTCACCATAATTGTCCTTTCTCCCTCTAGCTCACTTATTTTTGACCCGATTTAAAAATTTGAAGGATGATCTAAAATAATTTCTCAGAATTTGTTTTCCCGTTGCATCAGGAAATACAGGGTGCTCGGAACAAATGATCTACAGGGTACTACTCGATTTTTCCAAATCGAACACCCTGTATTTCATTGTATTTTTAGATTCTTCCTGAAGAGCTGATTTCATCAATGCATCACACTTGGGGTCTAGCGGGAATGATAACAGAGATATAGGGTGTTCAAAATCGAGATTTTTCAAGTTTAGGATTTTTTTGTCTCGAAACTATTCATTATTGGTCGAAACGGCTCCTATGTTTCCATCTTAATTTTTGATTAACTGTCTATTGAGATTTGATTGGAACATTTACAGGGTGGTTCAAGATTCAGAATTCTGATCACCCTGTATCTGTTCCAATTATTAAATGTCAGTAGATAGTAAATCAAAAGTTGAGATATGGACATGAAAGCCGTTTTGACCGATGATGAATAGTTTCGTCTCAAAAAAATCCTAAAGTTGAAAAATCTCGATTTTGAACACCCTATATCTCTGTAATCATTCCCGATAGACCCCAAGTGTGATACATTGAGCAAATCAGCTTTTCAGGGAGAATCTAAAAATACAATGAAAAATAGGGTGTTCCATATAAAAAAATCAAATGGTACCCTGTAGATCGTTTGTTCTGAGCACCCTGTATTTTCTGATGTAGCGGAAAAAAACTCAATCAAAAATCATTCAAGATGATATTTCAAATTTTGAAATCGGTTTAAAAATAATTGAGCTAGAGGGGGGGACATTTATGGTGAATCACCCTGTACACATAACCAAAAAATTAAATTGTCCAGCAAGAACCACGAGGTTAGAGCATTCTCGCCAGGGAAAATGGGGAAAGAAAAAGGAGGTGGATAAGGGTTAGTTGGTATGAAAAAATAATAACAAGAAAGTCGAAAAAATAAAATGAAAGAAAATAAAAATAAAATAACTCGTGAACAAAAAATATTTATATTCTGTTGAAAACGTAATGTAAACTCAAAAAAATCAACATAACCGACAACCACTCACCTAACGCGAGAAGCACAACACAACAATGATTTTACGCTCTACGCCGTTCCTGTAACAAGCCACCCCACTCCTTCGTAGTCGGCTGGCCGAGCCCGCGTGCAGGGTGCAGCCGTAGGTATAATGTTTCCCGCGATGCGATGGATGCATAAATATTATTTAGGTAGTTTATAACCGCTACATGCGTCTTTGAGAATAAATGATATTATGGAAGTTATACATTTATTACATTTTCGTCACCAGAGCTTTTTTACGATGTTTCAATACCTACTCAGCTCTTGGACTGCTGACATTTTTCTTGCCATATTACCTACATAGGCAGAGGCACAGTAGGTTACATTACAGCAATATTCAAATTGAATTATAACTTATTGACGCTCAGAAGCACTGAAGGAAAATTCTGATACCAATATTAGATGGATATGTTGAATTATGAATTATTGAAAAATTGCAAATTCAAAAATCACCAGTCATTTTTACTGCAACTACTGCAAGCGTAAACAAAAACATGGAAATTATTTTTCTTTTCAGTTTGTACATTTCAAATTCCAACATCAACTTACAAATAAGTATAGGAATTAAAATTATAAATACCTACAATGTAAAATGAAAATAGAATGTCAATCATGCCAATCCGTATATTAAAAATTAGGTCCGAATGGTTCGATACGGTGCACAGCGAGCGCACTGCAAACAACTGATACTGATAAGTACGATCGATACGTTGGACGGCCAGCAGAGCTTGGCCGCACCGAAGGTATGACGCGTATAAGCGAAAATTTAAACTTTAAACTTGAAGCGGGGAATCTGTAGGCGATGCCTGTGGCGATGCGTCGAGACAAGAAATCACCGATCGGCCGGCCGTCTGCATCAGTGTAATGAGCTACGCGAGCGGTTCAACTGAAAGCGGCGTTTTGACGATGGGATTTCCAGATGTCGTAGGTCCTGAATTAGTTCGTGATTTTCGGTGTATATGCGGATGGCATACTCAAAGCATCTCAAAGGTTCCATGAATGAAATTCAAATAATAGTGGCATAACAGTAGGATAATGAGCGATGAATTATGAAAACAGTTTCGGAAAATAATTTTATTCATCAAATAGTTCAGTAATTTTCCCCAAATTATTTGGTACGGCCCGGCCGACCCTGCCGTCCCTGACGAGCCGTCACTGTATCTTATACAGTGTGACATAACTCTGAACTATCAAATAACTAATTAATAACATAGTAACTATTTCTATAACAATTATCGAGGTAGATACTCCGGCAAGTATCTTTATTATTGCAAAACGATTCAATTTGAGATGTTTCCTGTTATGAACAAATGTTGTTTCTTGGGGATAATAAAGTTGATTGATAGATTGTATGATTGATATTTTTATTCAAAATACGAAGTTATGCTTAAAGATTCTTTAGATGCCTTATTTATATATATTTATTGTTGAAATTGACATCTTTACACTCAACCTTGAAAATGAAACCAAGTGAATGGTATTTCGACGTTTTATCAACACTGAACAAGTGAATGATATATAATCGATATGTAGAAGCAGATAATGAATATTTAGAATCGGCTGATCTTTGTACCATCTAGAAATGAATACCCTATGGATGTACAAATCCAGATGTCCATTGTTCATCTACAATATGGAGTCCAATGAATGTCCATGAGCGTCATGAATGAACACAATATGAACATCCAATGATTGTATAAATTTAGATGTCCGTTGTATATCTACAAAATAGATGTCCAATGAATGTTCATGAATATTTTGATGCCTGATGTACACAAAATGGAAATTCAATGCATGTAAAAATTTAGATGTCCATTCTACATCTACAAACAGTATGTCCAACGGATTTCCATTGACATCCTGGTCCCTGATGGACACATATTGAACATCCACTGGACACACGTGTGTTTTCTGGGTAGTTCGAGGTTTTTTATGATATTTTTCTCAATACATTGAGTTGTTTTAGTTGACCAAATTCATCAGCATAGGAGATATAATAATTTCAAGTCGACCTAGGAATAGAATATGTCTACTAGTTAGTTCAATGTGTATGGTTGATTCACAGGAATTCCTGTATTGAGAGATCTGCCAGTGGGAAGACAATTATATGACCACGCTTCTTATCCTGGACTAGTATTCACACTGAACGAATCCATTGCCATTCATCAAATCTCAAGCCTATTGAATCCACTCACGTATACCGATTACCTATTCAGGGGAAGAGGATTTTTAACAACCATTGGTAAGTATGCCATGAATTGTTATCCATACATTATAATATTCCATCTATTCATGTTCTATTACAACTGGACACAATACCGTGAATTGATTGAACACTTTTCGAGTTCGGTTATATCAGTTGTGTTGTCATATACAAGGATATTTATATCGTAAAAATAACAAATGTTTATTCTTTGAAGAAAACATGGTCCTTCCGTGAAGATTTTGGATATAAAAAATAAAATATCGAAAGCTTTGACATAATTGGAATATAAAACTTAGGAACTCATCATACTCTTGTTTAAAGATAAGAGATGTTCTTGAAATGAGTAGATTCATATATTCAGCACTTCGATATGATAGAGTCTAACAAATATGTCCATGATATCAGATTTCTTCTTATTATTTCAAATGGAGAGTATACTTACGCCACTTCAAAACATTCTAGGTAACTGAATATATACATTTATTCTGTATTTGATTTTAATGTACCGTATTTGTATACTAGGATTTCCTATTTAAATAAAGATTTTCATTTTCATTTTCAAATGTTTGAACTCCACGTGATTGTACTTTCCGCACGGAAATTTGAACAGATGTGACGTCAGAATTGCTACAGTGTAAAACTTTTGGTGGGAAAAGAAATCTAACCACAAATTCAATTTTGATCCCCATAGTTTTTTATTGGTACAATTTATCTAGTATACGTCGAGCTTTCTCAGGGTTTGAAATATTGGCACTTATTTCAATGCCACCCTGTATATGTGTAGAATCAAACTCATACCTATAAACTCATTTCAGGAGGGGTAGAAGCAATCACCTTCTTCAAATCAAATGTTTCAACTGATCCAGATCCTTCATACCCAGATATGGAACTGTTTTTTGTGGGAGGATCATTAGCTACCGATTTCGGACTGTATTATAGAAAGAAATTCAACGTTCCCCCTAGAATATTCAACAAGATTTTCCTACCTCTGATTTTCACACCCACCTATCAGGTAAAACTATACCGATCTGACACCAGTTGAAGTATTACGGTTGTTTTTCTTCAGATATTTCCACTGTTGATCCATCCAAAATCTGTCGGTTATATTGAGCTGAGGTCAAAAAATCCCATGGATTCTCCAAGATTTTATACAAATTACTTCTCTGATCCTGAAAACCATGACGTGAAGACCTTTATTGCGGGTATAAGAGAAGCTCAGAGGATCAGTCAGAGTCCGGCACTGCAAAAATATGCAGCAACATTGGTATCCACCCCAGTACCTGGTAAGAACATTTCGTCCAAGATTTTTGGAAAACTGCTAGGTTTGCTATAGAGAATCCTTTCAGGAATGATGTTATTGAATTATATACTACGGGCACATTGAATAATTGTTATTCCCCATTCATAATTTTTTTCCCACTTCATGATTTTAAAATTTATCCAAGGACATTTGGACCGGTGAACGTGAAAATACGGTGCACGAATTGTGGGCGTTGCCTTGTCAGCTCTCAGCTTGCATCACATTGTTGCCAAGTCTTCAATATTCACATGATATTTTGTTTTGGAGTATGAGAAATATTTGGACATGCTGGTTGCTCGAAAAAGTCGAGAATGAACGATACTATCATATTATGTTTCATCTCGTGTTTTATTCATTGACAGGAGTAGCAAGAATATAATATCTCTTTGATAACTTGATTATAATTGGTGACTTGACAGATTCGACCTGTCCTTGAATACTGTTTTTATATTTGGAGTGCAGCACCCAAACATACCCTGAAACTGTTGTATTCTGTCCGAAAAAGGGCAATTCGTCTCGTGGGTGATGCCTCGCTCACAAACTCACTCACTTCTTTGGAACACCGTAGAAAAGTTTGCGATCTGGCTTTATTTCATAGATATTTTCATGGCCGATGCTTTTCTGAAATATCAACAATCGTTCCTCCCTTGGCAGTCCCCGAGAGATTAACCCGCCGAGTTGAGGCTTCGCACCCCTTCGTGGTCACTTTGGAGACCTGCAGATCATCTCTTTCCAAAGACTCGTAAATCCAACGAACAGCAAGGCTCTGGAACACATTGCCAAGGAAAGTGTTCCCCGAGGCATATAACCCCCAAAAATTTAAGAAGAACACCAATTCCTACCTAATTTTCTTTGGTTCTCACGATGTTCTCTGAACATTACAGGATATCCCTTTTCGTGGGAACCAGATCAAAAATAAAATTGTTTTGTCCTCCTGTTTTGTCATATAATATTATTTCAGGCACCATTGTCTGATGATTGCCGTAGTGCCGAAACCGGTAATTTTCAAGGAAGGTTTTATATAATAACGGTCGACCAACTTTGTGTTGTTTCTTTTCAATTTTTCTTTTAGAATCTCTTCCTACTTCAATTTATATTCCATCGTTTTCAGGTTGTGAAAGCATCACATTCAACACAGACCAGTACTGGGAATGTTGTCTCAGAACGATCATAGGCAGTGAATACCACCAAACTGCCACGTGCAGAATGGGTCCACAAGGTGATCCACAAGCAGTGGTAGATGCCAGGCTGAGGGTGCATGGAATAAATAAACTGAGAGTGGCAGACACCAGCGTTATACCGATCACTATCTCAGGGCATACTGTTGCTCCAGCATACATGATTGGAGAAAAGGGTGCTGATATCATCAAAGAAGACCATCGTTAGGAAATGCATGAAAATTATGTTAATTATGATTGTTGATTACTATTATGATAGGATAGGATAAGAGGATGGTCATGACGTTTACATAGAAATTATTATTGAAGTTATGAAATAGATTTCAAATTGAATGAATATTTGTGTAGGTATGAATAACTAAGCTGATATAAGCTCATTAGCAAATATAAAATATCAATATCATAATGCTAGAAGGTTTGAAAAAGCAATATCTTCTGGGATTTCTCTAACTGAATCGAGTTCTACAATAGCAGTTATTCTAACTAGGCCACTTGATTGATTATTTCTCGCGAATACTATCTCTAAATGTATGTAATCTGAATGAGTGAAAGTGTATCGACAAATATTTGAGTTCACAAGATGTGCATTTCATGGAATTTATTCATAGACAGCTGGATGAAGGGGAGTATATGTTGCTGCACTTTTTTTCGATCTATCTGAAGCGTTTAACGCCATTGACCTCAATATTCTACAGGAAAATCTCCATGTTTTGAACATAAGAGTATTCTTATCTTGGATAAAATCATATATCCGATATAGGAAAATAATTGTTCAGATAGAACAAAATACATACAAAAGCGTGTTATACGACTCATATTCAATTTAAAACCATGTATCTACATCTATCACTGTGTTGTATACATAAAAAAACTGGAAAATGAGTTACAATCAAACTTCCAGTCCCACAGATATCTAACAAGAATTGGTGACTTACTTACAAACAAAAAAACATAGAACAGCTTTATACGATAAATCATCTACATTTTCTGGTATTAGGTATTTCAACTGTCAGCCTTCCGAAATTAAAACAATAACTTTACTCCACCTTCTCAAGAGGAGAATCAAGACATCAAGTTATTATTCATTCGATGAATTCCTTAACTATAAATTTCAAAATTTCAAAAAGTTTTTCAAAATGTTTTTAATGCTTGTGACTGTGTTATTATGTTCCCACTTTGTTACTTTCTGTTATTTTTTTTTACATATTATGTATAAAAGTGAACGTTTCATATGTATGATAAATTTTATATAAATATACCTATATATCAACTTTTATGACATTTCCTATATCATTGTGAAGTGATCCATTTGGGATGAATAAATTATTGTATTGTATTTTTTTTATCGCTTGGGGCGCACGAAAGGGAATCCCTATGATGTTCCATGGGAGGATAGGGACAGGAGGTAGGTATTGAAATTTTTTTTTGAATTTCTGGAGATTATATGTTGTTGGGAATACTTCCACAGGCAATGAATTCCAGAGCCTAGCCAATCTATGGATGAAGGAGTCTTGATAAAGTGCTGTTCGATATCTTTCGAGGTTGACAACGAAAGGATGTGCTGGCTGGGCTTGTCTAGTTCGCAAAATTCAACAGGAACAAAGAAATATAAAAATAAGCAACGAATCAAATACGAATAGAAAATAAATAAGATAAATAAGGCAAGGAAATTGATAACAGTTAATATCTATTGGTCCACACTCAAACAGGTATCGAACTGTATCACTTTTGCAATCTGATCCACATTCTTCAACGGTTACATTTTATACATACAGATGGGCTCCGTGGCCGAGTTTGTCTATGCGCTGAAATTCGCTAGATAGCCGTTCACGATGCAGAGGTACTGTCGGTTCGAATCCGGCTATCGGCTGAGCATTTTTATTTATTAATGTGTGATTCATGGTTGTAATCCTGATGGCAGCACCTCGATGCCCTAGAAGTGGTTCGGATTCCACTATAAGCTGTAGGTCCCGCTCTTCCTAACCCCGCACAAGTTTCGACTTCTGAGGAGTTGGTTCCCAACTTTGAAGTAGAGATATACAAATTTTACAAATTTCACAAAATTTAGAGTGATTCGAAAGCGGGCCTCCCTCATTCATTTTTTATTTATGGAGCGATTTCCACGATTTTTTTTCAATGTAGAGGGGGTAAAGGTATATTCTGGAGCAGAGTGGCATCCATTTTTCTCAAGACAAGTCCAACTAGATCATATTCAGAGGCTGAAAAATCCAAAATCCATATTAGCGTTTTTTTTCTAGAAGAAAATCGCGTACACCACTGGAATCGGCGTCCTCTGAAATAGATATGTACCAAGTTTCATGAAGAAATACTCAACATAGACGAATCTACAGCGTGTCTCATTTCAAATGACCCCCCTTCTCAGGTATATGAGACGTGCGGCCTTTGGGGTCGGTAAGGAAAGCCATCAATATGATCAGTTGTGTTTCAACAAAGACAATTTGTGCAAGTGCAGTGGAATATCAGCTATTCGGAAAAAACAATATTGGTATAATCATTCTTCAAATTCATTTCTTGATTATTTTATATTTTTGCAACTTACCTGTATAGAGCGTTATGTCGAATAACTTTAAGTACATACGTTTTCTCCTCCTAGTCGAAACTTGGCAAAATTAGTTGACATAATTCTTGGAAAAAATCAGCTGGCTGTCTGCCGGGGGAAAACCCGTCAGCTAAATGTATGGTGAAGATTCTGTACAGAATACCCTTTTTTATGTTTTGGTTCCCACGAAAAGGGATATCCTGTAATGCTCAGAGAACAGCGTGAGAACCAAGGGAAATAAGGTAGGAATTGGTGTTCTTCTTGAATTTATGGAGGTTATAATATATGCCTCAGGGAACACCTCCATTGGCAATGTGTTCCAGAGCCTCGCTGTTTGTTGGATGAACGAGTCTTTGGAAAGAGATGTTCTGCAGGTCTCGAAAATGAACACGAAGAAGTGCTCGACGGGTTAATCTCGCGGGGACTGCCAAGGGAGGAACAATTGTTGATAGTTCCGATGAACATCATCTATGAAAATATCTATAAAATAAAGCCAGATCACCCACGAGACGAATTGCCCTTTTTTGGCCGAGAAATAACATCACATGGAGAATGCGAATTCTCAATGTATTTCTTTATATATATATATCCATTTTTTGTGTTCATAAATATATCTGAGAATGTTCTTTTTCAATACTATTTTATTCACCCAAATCTGATGAGAACGAGCCATCTACTTCTCGAGAACCCATTTCAAGGTCCGTTATCATTGTGCTTTATGCTGGTTTGAAATAATGTACCAAAATGGTACATTTTCAGTTTAACGTGTGGTACGCTTCATAAATTGGGCGCGGCAATTCTCACACAACCATTTCGCGCGACACTTTCACCGCGTCAAATAAAATTTTTCCACCGACATACAGCCAGCTGACTCCTTTTTTACTCATAGTAACATGTAACATATCAGTTGAATTTCCAACTGGGGGAAAATCACTGAAAATTATTTTTTATTATTCATGTTCGTGCGTAATATCCAGCTGACTATTTTTTGAAATGAATTTCGCAGTTAGAAGTATGGTAAAGTTCTAGTATGATTTTGATTTTGAGATGACATGATGAATAAATTCTCAATATCTCCACTACTTGCAAATGAAGCGCAATGCAGTGATAGTGCAATTATTCTGAACATCTCCAGAAATATTTCATCACATATTTATTATAATTGAACTACTAATTGTCTATTTGAAAGAATCCAGGACTTGACATGTTTCCTGAAGTTATGCCTGTTTTGAAGCGACTTTATGTGTGCCATTAGAATATTGAAAATTTTCACTGCATTGTATTACATACTATAATACAAGTGAAATTGTTTTACTTAAGATTCGGTAGATGTCTGACCAGACATAAAACCGGTTCGGTTCAAAATTCATTTCCTAATACAATGATGGATTGCAATGATAAGGAGCAATTACTGCATATATATATGAAGGAAACTAAACTTGATTATTACACTGGCACTATCAAATTTATGTACTTATTTTTGTTATGACAATGTCTGATTAATAAACTTTCATCATTTCAATGTGAATAAATGCGTAATTATGGAAATTTCAACATACTTTCAACTTCTTCACGAAGTGAAATTGAGAGTGGAAATGTAAAACACCTTCACGAAAAATCAGACAAATAAATATATTTTATTGTGAAGAAATACGGCTTCAAGGCAATATTTATTGTTGATTGAACTTCCATTGCGAGATTGGTTTTGGGGCAAAAGGAAAGGATTGTTCCCAAATGCACACTTCCCGAATATATTGAGAATGAGATATATCGCCCAACAATATTAACTCTTTTCAGTGTTGTTCTCTGGCTAATTTCTAGGTCCAAAAAATTCTCACTTGTAATTATCCATCGTCTTCGACTCGGAATAATTTACAAAATATCCATGAGCTCAAACAAATTTCCGGAAATAATTCGACCTCGTGTGGTATCCGGTTAGAAAATGTCACACCAGATTGTGTTTGGAAATTAGATAGTTTTAGAATTCATTTGTTCATTTGATTTGCATACAGGTTCATGAATACATTTAGTTTGGGTTGCAGTTTCGGCACCTATAATATATTACTGATTTCTATCTATTAGATTTGCATAAAAATACTAACTTCGGGATACTACAAGTGATAAGGAATTATAATTTTGTCACATACTAGTAGTAGTAGAGAAAGGTGAGGCGTCATGGGCATATAATATCTACTATTCCATATCCTAATTCTCCTGTTCGAACCTCCGTGGATTTCTGATGAAGGTCAGTATGTCCGTCCACCTTAGTTATTTGATCTTCCTGTTGAAGCGTATCAGTACCAGAGGTTTCGAATTTTAGCCTTCCATAACGCCTCACACTGGCCCAGGTAGTGGTATGACATTTTATATAATAGATAGATAGAATAGTTAGGACATCAATGGATTCTTAGCCTATTTATTGTTGATTTCTACCCAATTGAAGTGGCACAAAATCACTATTTCAGGACGTCAAAATATTATTCTGCCATTAAAAGGTCATAAGAAAATTTCCGATTTCATATGAATCAAATCATATTTATGGTACAAGAACGATGGATTTTAATATCCCACCTCACAGACTAACTCTAACAGAAAAAACTCCAATGTACTCGTGTATAAAGTTTTACAATAGAATACCTTCAAAACTG